CCATCCTAGTGTTTAAAGTGATGTTTCATTGTGGTTTCATTTTGCATTTCCCTGATGATTAATAATGGTGAGCATCTTTGTTGTGCTTCTTGGCCACTTTTTTAATGTTTATTTATTTTAGAGAGAGAGAAAGAGTGCAACCAGGGTAGATGCAGAGAGAGGGGGACAGAGGATCCGAAGCGGGTTCTGGGCTGACAGCAGAGAGCCCAACACGGGACTTGAACTCACAAACTGTGAGATCATGACCTGAGCTGAAGTCAGATGCTCAACTGACTGAGCCCCCCAGGTGCCCCAAATTTTTGGCCACTTTTATGTCTTCTTTGGAGAAACATGTATTCGGATCCTTTGTCCATTTAAGAATTGTCTTTTTGTTATTTTTAAGAGTTCTCTATATGTTCTGGATGCAAATGCATTATGAGATATGTGATTAACAAATATTTTTCCCAATTCTGTGAGTAGTCTTTTCAGTGTCTTGGTGGTGTTTTTTGGAGCACGAAAGTTTTTAATTCCGATGAAGTCACAGAGTTCATTCCCACTGCTGGGTGTGAGCTTAGGTTCTAGAGGGCAGCTGTGGGAGCAGGAGAGCAGGCATTAGAAGAATGTCGCAGAGGCCCAGGTGAGACACGTGATGGCTTCCTCCTGGGCATGGCCACAGCTGGTGAGAAGGGGCCAGGTGTGAGGTAGGTTAGGCAATAGAGTTGATGGAACGAGGTGAGGGGTTGCTCTGGGGGTGAAGGAGAGGGAGAAGTCAGGCACGGATGCTAGGATTTCAGCCCCAAAAATTGATTCAAAATTTGATTATACTGCCCATTATCTGCCACAGAATTGTGATAATTTTTAATCTGTGCTGGGGCATGCAAGTGAAGGGATCCTTACACATTTTTGAAGTTGATAGTGTTATCGTTGATTGCGCCAAGGAGATGATTCCAGGGACTCTGTCCTTCCACGAATACCTCCTAAGCCACCGCAAATAAACGTATAATCCAAGTTAGAATAGTGTACCTGCCCTGCAGATGAGTTTCGAGGCAAATCCTCCGGCCCCTTCTAACCAGGCCGCAGTCTCAGATCCCTTCGTATGGAGATTATGGAGCTGACAAGTGAATGGTATCAGATCAAGGGAATGAATTTTTAAATTTGACAGAGCTGCTTTGAGGAAAATGGCTTTGAAAGGAGGAAATAGTACTAGCTGACATTTGTGAAGTGCTTAGTCCTTCCACTTGCTTCCGAGGAGGTCTCGTCCGCTAAAGCAGAAATTAGAACATTTTGGTTCGGAAAATTTTGGTTTATGCATGTAGTGTGTTCGCTGCAGCTTTTCTGCACAGGTTAAAAATCGTGTTCTGGCGGAATATTTAATGAAATGGCAAATGCTTCTGGTTTATAAAGTGAAAAACTGTGTGTGTCTGCACATGTGTGTCTGTCACTACCTGTAGATATAGCATGTCTCTGTACGATGGGATTATTATTTTTTTTAATGTTTTATTATTTATTTTTGAGAGAGAGAGAGAGAGAGAGCGTGAGCGGGGCAGGGGCAGAGAGAGAGGGACACACAGAATCCCAAGCAGGTTCCAGGCTCTGAGCTGTCAGCACGGACTCCCCGACGCGGGACTCAACTCACCAGCCGTGAGATCATGACCTGAGCCAAAGTCGGACACTCAACCGACTGAGCCACCTGGGCACCCCCGTACAATGGGATTATTAATGCCATTTATTTAGTTCTTTGTAATTTTCCATACTTCAAAAATTTTACAGTTTGTTTTGAGAGAAGGGGGGAGGGGCAGAGAGGGAGACAGAGAATCCCCAGCAGGTTCTGCGCTGTCAGCGCAGAGCCCGATGTGGGGCTCGAACCCATGAACCATGAGATCATGACATGAGCTGAAACGAAGAGTTGGACACTTAACCGACTGAGCCACCCAGGCGCCCCTCAATTTTTTTTGTAAATTTGAGATAGAGTGTGCGTGCCTTCGAGCTGAGGGTGGGGAGATGAGAGGGACAGAGAGAGAGAAGGAGAGAGAAGAAGAATCTTAAGTAGGCTCCACCTTCAGCACAGAGCCCAACGTGGGGCTCAATCCCACCACGGTGGGATCCTGACCTGAGCCAAAATCAAGAGTTGGACACTGAACTGAGTGAGCCACTTAGGCACCCCTCAATTTTTTGATGGTGAACATTTATAACTGTTTAAACAAAATTTCATTTTAAAAACTTGGTATAAATTATGGCTTCTCAGTGTGTTCGCATGTACACGCCCATCAAGGAAACAAAGCCTTTAACTGCTCCTATGCTGCCTTACGCTTGAAGATGGAAAGATTGTTGAAATAGCAACAGTGTCCTCATCTGTACAATGGGGATAACAGTGGTCCTGATTTGGCGAGGATTTAATGGGTTAGTGTGCTAAGGATAGTTTCTATGAAGTAATAGCATTAGCGATTAGCGCTATTGCTATTGTCATTCTTTGCATTTTGGATTATTGTCCCATGTCCTTAAGCGATCTACCTCCTTTCCCGTGGTATCTGTCAGCAACTGTTTTCACTTGAGTGCATGAGGCCATTTCATTTTCATTTGATTCCTGCATCATCTGAGTCTCGCCCACCTTTCTGGAGTACTTGCATAAATCAAGGAATAGTCTTGCCCTTGCCTAGTTACAGGTTTATGAACCGTGCTGCTGTATGGACGGCACAGCATTCACCATCCAGATGCCTGTTGCGTCAGCCATTTAAAACTATGTGTGTGCTCACTTCAGCGGCACATGTGCTGAAGCTATGTGAGCTTGGGCACGTTTCGGAACCTCCCAGAGCTTCAACCTCTGCTACAAAGGGATGTATCAGTCAATTTTCTTTCTTTTTTTTTTCAAAATAAAAAAAAAAATTTAGAGAGGGACAGAGAACGCGCAAGAGGGGGGGAGGGGGAGAGAGAGAGGAGAGAAGAGTTTTTTTTTTTTTTAATGTTTGTTTATTTTGAGAGAGAGAGAGGGAAACAATCCCAAGCAGGCTTCACTCTGTCAGCACAGAGCCCAACTCGGGGCTCGAACCCACGAACCGTGAGATCATGACCTGAGCCAAAATCAAGAGTCAGATGCTTAGCTGGCTGAGCCACCCAGGTGCCCAGAGAGAGAGAGAGAGAGAGAGAGAGAGAGGATATCTCGAGCAGGCTCCATGCTCAGCGCAGAGTCCAACATGGGGCTCGATCCCATAACCCTAGGATCATGACCTGAGCCGAAATCAAGAGTCAGCTGCTCAACCAACTGAGCCACCCAGGGGCCCCAGTCAATTTTCTTAACCATCACAGAGGGATGTGATTCTTATTATTACCATTAGAGGAGCTCTCACAAATTACACTGCTTGCTTCTTCGTATTGACTATTGTGATTATCAAATGAAACAGGAATCTGAAAATGCTTGGATCACTGGGTATGCCATAGAGATCCAGGGGGGTATTATTCCTGCAGTGAGTTGAGGCAAGATTGGAGAAAAGGAGATTATTTTGTTGGTCTTCCACTCTTGTCACTCCTTCCTTCCTTGCAGATTTTCCTCGTACACAACTCATTCATCCATTCAGTAAATACTCACTGAGTGCCTCTGATATGCCTGATCCTTTTCGAGGTGCTGGGGGCTACAGAGGTGAGTGAGGCAGATGTGGCCCTGCTCTTGTGGGCCTTACAGACCAGTGATGGTAGAGGGGGTCAGGCAGAGACGGCCAGTCAAAAGAGAAGGCAGAAGAAGTGTGAGCAAGTAAAGCAGAGAGAGGGGACCAGAGAGGGCTTGGTGGTGGTGGTAGGAAGCACACTGTAGGGGATGGTCAGGCGGGACCTCGTGGATAAGGGGACATTTTAGCAGACACCCATATGCTGAGAAGAAGCAAAATCTGAGTGACACCTGGAGAAAGAGCATTCCAGGTGGGAGGGACAGCCCAGTGTTGGGGCCCCTGGGTGAGAATGAGTTGGGTGTGAGTTTCGTTATAAGAGAATTTGAAGTTGGTCAGTCAGCTTTATAGAAATCAAAAAGCCAGAGTTCAGCAGACCGCAAATCCGGCATCCTAACAAGTTCTTACTAGAGGGACTTAAAGTCTCCGTAGAACTGAAGGACTAGAATATACCCCTCCAGCTCTAATCAGGATCGGGCACCGCCTGTAGCTGCTGCTTGTCTGTCAGAGCTGTGATGGCGCGATTGGAAAGACTCAGGACCTGGAGCGAGAAGACCTGGACTCAGGTCTCGTCTTTGTGGTCACGGGCAAGTCTTGTGACCCTTGGGTCCTCAGGCCCTTCTCCTCAAAGTTGGAGGTGACGCCACTGATCTCACAGGTGGGACAAGGAGTAAATGAGGGGCTGAACCCTTCATAAATGACAACACACTGTGTAAGGACTGAGTCTCTTTATTGCGGGAGGCTTTGAACTCAGAGTGCCAAGAGGTACGGGTGTCAGGGTGGAGCAGGTGCATCGCGGAGGGTCTGAGCATCGAGGGGGCTGCAGGCATCCAGCTGGGGGACGTGCTTCTCTACTGTCTCGACACAGCGAGTGTATTTCCACCAGGACTGGTTCGTTGTCCTTCTGGGACAATGGCTTTCCTCTTTCTCTTCATGTTCTGTCCGTCCTCACGAGCTTTGTACTTCAGGATGTTTCCAGTGAAGCCTTTCCTACTACTCTGTCCCTCTTATCAAGACCTACAGCTTCGCACCCAATCACATGTGGTTTTGTGTGTCTTCACTGTTTCTTTTGCCTGCCTGGCTAGATCATAAACTGCTCGAGAATAAGAACTGTTTCTAATATTCTTTCTGTTTCTCCGTAGTATTTATTAGCACAGTATAAATTATAGAGGCCAGTACATATTGACGTGCACGTTGAATTAAAGTGCTCGAAGTAATCTTAATGACCCCTGGTTTACTTTCTCCGTTGAAATAAGCCGCAGCTCTAATTTTTCCCCACCTGCAACTTCCTCACGCCCACCGTTAAACATGACTTCTCTTTGGCGTGACCAGACGTAGAAAGAATTACAACGCCTTGTTCTTTAGCCCCCAGGTTTCCCCAGATGCCAATCAAACGTTCCTTTTCCTGCCTGAAGATCATCTGCGGAAACCTCAGCCATGGCATCAGTATCAGAACCGGTTACCTTCAGAGAGTTCTGCCCTTTGTACTATCTCCTCAATGCCATTCCCACAAAGGTCCAGAAGGGTTTCCGCTCCGTCGTGGTCTACCTCACAGCTCTCGACACCAATGGGGACTACATCGCGGTGGGCAGCAGCATCGGCATGCTCTATCTGTACTGCAGACACTTCAACCAGATGAAGAAGTACAACTTTGAGGTGAGTCTTGCTTTTCTTTACTCCTTAGTATGCAAGAGGCATGGCCGACGTTGGACACGCTCGTGTCTCCTAGGATGGGGTAATTGACTTCCGATTTGGCCTTAGTATCTCACCCAAACACTACTTGAAAACCATCTTTAATTGAAGTGGAATATAACTAGACGTTGGTTTGTTTTTGTTTTTACTTTTCTCCCCCTGCCTCTAGAAGTTTAGCACCACTTTAAAAGAGAACATTTTAGTGTTAATATGGAATAGAAAACTTTGGAAGTTGGTACTTTCTTCTACATATTTTTGTTTCTCAGGGTACCTTGACTGACTCAGTTAAATGATCTCTAGTTATTGTGCTGAAATTATTATGAAGAAAGGACTAGTATCAGTATTGGCTAGCTACCCAAACAGGTACATCTGAAATAAGATCTCTCCTTATAGAACATTGCTGTTAGAATCTCAGCCAACCTCTGTTCTGTGTTGGTTGACTTCAGGCATTGCACGTCTGTGTATTGTAGATGCTGGCAGGCACTAAATAAATATTGACACATCATCGTCAAATTCACCTACTTAGTCGATATCTGTGGTTTATTGAGTACGCGGCTTTTGTGAGAGACTCCCAAGGTGACTGAGTTATGGCTTCTCCCTCATGGCCTGGTGTGGCTCTACTCTTCCTGTAGTTAGTGGGCTTTTATGGACGTCTTTAGACAAGACTTTTGTGTTTAGGAGTGCCTGGGTGGCTCACTCAGTTGGGCGTCCAGCTTCGGCTCAGGTCATGATGTTACATTTCATGGGTTCGAGTCCTGCGTCAGGCTCTGTGCTGACAGCTCAGAGCCTGGAGCCTGCTTCAGGTTCTGTGTCTCCCTCTCTCTCTGCCCCTTTCCCACTCATACTCTGTCTCTCTCTCTCTCTCAAAAGAAATAAACAGTAAAAAAAGAAAAAAGAAAACAAAATGATAGACCTGATTAAAACGTATCAATAATTATATTAAGTGGAAATGATCTGTACTTATCAATTAAAAGAAGTTACTGGAATGGAGGAAAAAATTATGAACCAACTATATATTGTTCATAAGAAACTCAATTAAAAATTAAAAGGATGGGGGCGCCCGGGTGGCTCAGTCTGTTAAGCGTCCGACTTCAGCTCAGGTCATGATCTTGTGGTCCATGAGTTCAAGCTCTGCGTTGGGCTCTGCACTGACAGCTCAGAGCCTGGAGCCTGCTTCAGATTCTGTGGCCCCCTCTCTCTCCGCCCCACCCCTGCTTGTGCTCTGTCTCTCTCTCTGTTGTTCAGAAATGAATAAACATTAAACAAAATTAAAAGGATGGAGAAAGGTATGTCATGTAAATGCTAATTCAAAGAAAGTTGGAGTGGCGATGTGAATATCAAAGTAGTCTGAGCAAAGAAATAACTAAGGTTAAAGAGAGCCATTCCGTTGGAAAAGACACAGCAGCCTTAAATGTGTGTACCTTAACAAGCAAACTCCACAATAGACGGAGCAAAAAGTCTCATAACTGAAAAACCAAGAAATCCACAATTCTAGTTGGAGACTTCAGCACTCGTCTCTCAAGGATATAGAAATATAGAAGAGCTGAGTGACACCATCAGCTGACATTGTCTCATTGACATTTACAGAACGTTCCACCCAACAGCAGATGAGGGTGTGTTCCTCGTAAATAAACGTGGAACATTCACTGAGACCATATTCTGGGTCATAAAACGTGTCTCAACAAGTTTAAAGTAGAGCAGACTTTGGTTCTCTGTTTCACTCTGTTTTCTCACTTTTTAGTTGAAGTGTACTTGACATAAAGCGTACAAATTTCAAATGTACAACTTGGTGAATTAGCCTAGTTGTACAGCTGTGTGATCCCTAGATCAAGATGCAGAACGTCTTCAGCAGTCCAGTAGACTCCCAGCGCCGGCTGCCAGTCAGTACTCCTCTCGCGGGTGCCTGCTCTTCTGACCTCTAACACTGCAGGGTACATTTGCTAGCCCCTTAGGTTTTAATTCACTGCTAGGTCATCTTTGGCATTAAGGTGTAGTGTTGGAGCATGCGCGCGCGCGCGTGTGTGTGTGTTCCAGAAAGTGTATTTGGATGGAAGTGGAACACAGGGCAAGGATATGGAGCAGTGTGGGTTAAGGCCAGAAAGGCGGGTGGAGCCTCGCACATGAGACTGTAGGCTGGAACCTGCTTCTGGGGCAGGGTCAGCTCTGGGACCCTTGTGGGCTGTGTGGGCTAGGGGCCAAGTGTGAATTCAGACCCTTTACTCGGTTGCATTTCAACCCAGTTCTCTGTTATAAAACACATGTGGCTTATTGATACCATTGTATTATCCTTTTTAAAATATAATTATATGACTGTTTTTTAAAGTTCACCACCAAACTCACAAAAACTTAGAGAAAAGCGAGTGTAATGTTCCCCGGAATGAAACTACAGTTACCCCTGACCGCCAGTTTTATAGTTTTACCTAGAATTAGCATTCTCTTTATCCTATGATGAGCCTCATGAGCTTTGAAGGAAGGTGATGTCCTAGCACCAGGGGTGCCCAGAGTTTGGGAGAATCAAGTACAAATTCTTGGAATCAGCAGATGAAGAGGGGACTCCAGGAAAAGTCATATATTATATGTATACGTCCACTGGCTTTCTCTGACGGAGGGATCAGAAAAAAATGTATTTTACTGGGGCCAAAATCCAAACTTGACAGCCCCAAGTATCCAAAACATTTTTCAAGCACCCATTTGGTATAGAATACAAACCCGTAATTGTGGAAAATCACAAAGGAAGTGCAAAATAAAAATTCCGTTTTGGAAAGAACACGGAATTTGGAATCAGAATACTGGGGTGGGAAAAGAAAGCTAAATATCCGTCTGTAAAACATACGGGAAAAGGTCTGCAGGAGCACTCCTGACTCTCCATCATGATTCTCTAAATCTCTGTGGGGCCTGAGAATGGGGTAGGCTGAGGGAGGGGGTGTGAAGAAGTATCTTTTTGTTTTCTTTAAATGCGGTGGAATCATTCGAATTTTTTGGTAACAAGAATGTTTTCCTATTTCCTTGTTTTGGGTTTTTTTTTTTTTTTTTAATGTTTTTGAAGTTTATTTTCGACAGAGAGACAGAGTGAGCGAGGGACAGGCAGAGAGAGGGGGAGAGAGAGAATCCCGGGTAGGCTGTGCGCTGTCAGCACGGAGCCCAATGTGGGGCTTTACCTCACAAACTGTGAGAGCACGACCTGAGCCAAAATCAAGAGTTGGACGCTCAACTGACCGAGCCACCCAGGCGCCCCCGTATTTACTTGCATCAACACAACAACACAAAGCTCTGTTTTGAGTGTTGGCTGTCGGTTATTAGCTACGTGATCCTAGAGATGGATTAACTGTTTTGTTGTTCTGGTCATTTTTGTCCTCAGAGCTGGCTAGGTCTTAGAATAATTTGGCACGATTCCCATGTTTTTCAAATAAAGAAATGGTAAGATTCCTGCTCCACGCCACACAGCTGGTTGCCTGACCATTATGCTCGCTTCCTATGAGAGAAGACAGGGCCTCCACAAAAGTCTGGATTTGGAAGACAGTGGAAACCAGATTCAGAGTCTCTGGAATTTCCAAGTGAAAATTGAGAGACGCATCAACTAGTTTCATTTAGGGGAAATCTAAGATTTTATAGGAAGGTAAATAAAAATAAAAGTTAGTCTACCCTCTCATGAACCCATGTGTGGCATGGATGAAAGATGATGTTTTTAAATGAAGTTCTGTTTCTAAAGAAGGAAAGCAGACCTTATATGTGCTAAATACAGCCTGTCGTGTGTTTTCAAGAATAATACTTTTGGAAACCTTTTTTCCTACACGAGTTAGTGGGAGAGGGCAGATGGAGACACAAGAAGTTCTTCTAGCTCGTGCCAAAAGCACAAGAAACTGTGAGGAGCTAATAACGAGTATAAAAATGTTATAAACTTGTTAAATATATGGGTGTGAAATACGTAAGAACAGAGCGGAACGATAAGTTGACCTGAGCTTCTGATTTTCTCTTTGGAAAGTAATTGTATAACCTCTCTTCTTAGCATTCGGTGAATGGCAGAAATTCCACGGATTCGCCTCCAGAGCAGTCTCTGCACTACCTGGTTCTCACTTCTGCAGCTTGTCTGCACTTGGGTCTCCAGGAGTTCATTCAATAAGTACCCAGTGCGGGGACACCTGGGTGGCTCCGTCGGTTGAGTGTCCGACTTCGGCTCAGGTCATGATCTCGCAGTGTGTGAGTTCGAGTCCTGCATCAGGCTCTGTGCTGACAGCTCGGAGCCTGGAGCCTGCTTTGGATTCTTTGTCTCCCTCTCTGTCTGCACCGCTCCCCTCCCCCCCCCCAACACACACACTCTGTTTCTTTCTCCTTCAAAAATAAATAAACATTAAAAAAGAAAAAAGTACCCAGTGCTCACCGTGTGCTAGGCCCGCTTGAGGTCCTGGAGAGGCACAGAACAGGGCAGGCAAGGCCCCTGCCCTCAGGGGACTCGGAGTCTAGTGGGGAGCCAGAGCCGCCAACACACAGACGAACAAGAAGGGGGTCTGAGGGGAGAATAAAGCAGAGGAGGGGGTGAGGAGCTGCAGCGCGGGACGTCGCAATTTTAAATAGCAAGTTCAGGGAAGGGCTCGCTGAGCAGTGACAGCTGAATGGAGACCCAAAGACAGTGAGCAGCATGATGGACGTGCTGTTACAGCGGGGGCAGAATATTCCCAGTGGAAGGAAGGAGAGGCCTGAGCATGGGAACATGTCTGTGATGTTTTCCAGTCAGGAAACTCATGCTTCAGAATGTTATGAATGTTTCCTTGACTTTTACCAAGTATGTGTGTGTGTATATACGTGTGTGTGTGTGTGTGTGTGTGTGTGTGTGTGTGTATTTTTTTTTTTTAAGTTTACTCATTTATTTCAACAGAGAGAGTGCATGCATGTGAGAGAAAACAGGGTAGGGGCAGAAGGAGAAGGAGAGAGGATCTTAGGCAGACTCCATGCCCCGCACAGAGCCCGACTTGGGACTCGATCCCACAGACCTTGAGATCATGACCTGAGCTGAAATCAAGAGTTGGATGCTTAACGGACTAATTAGGATCCTATGATCTAAATTCTGGCATGTCAGTAGCATTGCGGTATAGGGTTTCACTGGTATCCTCAGCATGGATTGCTTCAACTCATTAACTAATGGTAATTTAAAATTGTATTTGCAATTGTAATGACTCCAGAAGAGTCAAGATACTAATGGCAAAAGAACAAGATGGGAGAGGTTGCTCTACTGGGTTAGCAAGGCTTATAAACCTTTAGTAATTAAGCTGATTGTGGTTGTTAGCACAAGAATAGATAAAGAATCAGATCAAAAAGAATAGAACAGAGAACCCAGAAAATCCATACATATATGATCGCTTGAGGTTTTGCAAAGATGCTATTACAAGGTTGTTCTACTAAATGGTGTGGGACATTTGGATATGAGTATTTGGGGGAAAGTGAAACTTGAAACCTACCTCACTTTAGATGTTTATTTTGTCTCAACACTTTAAAGGTATTATATCATCATCACCACTGCTGGGACTCCTGCTAGCCGTCGAATTGTTTTCCTTTGTAGGTAATCTGCCTTCTGTCTCTAAGATTTCTCTAGCGGTGGTGTCCCAGGCCCTAGGGACTTCCTTCAAGTCCAGTGGATGTTCCCTACTCCAATTTGCCCTATGGAAGTAAGGAAATTATTCCAGAAAAGGGGATGCTTTGATTTAACTTTTGGATCATCAAATAGTTATGTAAATATTTAAACTTTAAACTGTGGTTCTGTGTTAGTAAAAGAAGGATAAAAGTGAAACAGTTCTTTTGAATTTGATGAATATCTTACTAGAGTCTTCTTAAATGTTTCTAGGTATTTTCGACCTATTGTTTGATATGCTAGCAGTTTCTCCTAAAGGTTAAGCTTTGGCATATCGAGAGACACTCATGAAGAAAGCCTTGTCACATTTCACAGCTCCCATGAGCTCACTCGCAAAGAACGCTTCCCCTTCGTACAGTTTTGTCCTGTGTATGAAGGGAAAACCGCCTGCCAAGGAGCCTGAAGAGGTTGGTGGAATGCTACCCTGGTGGTGAAGTGTTTGTTCAGAAAATCATCACTGGCTTCTTTCAAATCAGTCTCTTCTTAAATTTTTTTATCGCTAGATTTCCATTTTGAGGGGGGTTAAGTTGCCACAAGGCAACAAGAAGTGCTCCTGGGAAGTTGGGAAGGAGGGAAATGTAAGAGTCAGCATACAATAGATGAGCCCTGAAAGGGACAGGGTCTCCTTAAAGAGACCGAAGAGTGACTCCCAGGCCAGAATAAGACTGAACTGTCCCTACATCAAAAGAAAAAAGGAGGGGTACCTGAGTGGCTCAGTCGCTTAAGCGTGCGACTTTGACCCAGGTTAGCCCCGCGTTGGGCTCTCTGCTGTCAGCACGGAGCCCGCTTCAGATCCTCTGTCCACCCACCCCCCCCCCCGCCCCTCCTCTGCTCATCCTCTCTCTCTCAGAATAAATAAACTTAAAAAAAAAGAAGAAGAAAAGAGGACGTGACGGCAGGAAGAGAGCGTATAGTCTGCTGGGTAACTTGGGAAAAATCGGGCCGAATTACCCGTGCAGCTGGGAGTCCCTTTGAGAGCTGAGACCCCCTTGGCATGGCCGGCCCTAACGCTTACCGTGGCTTGCTCAGAAATTGCTCCCTGCTAGCCAAGCAGCTTTTGACTGAGACTTGCTGCCCATGCGCATCAGCCAGTGGGGAAGAATGTACAGGTCCTACGTACGTGAGCATTCTGGTTTGTGTGACCGTTAGTTCTTTATAAAGTAATAAACTGGCTTTTTGGCTCAAACTTTAACTTCTTGTGCATGAGATGCCCACAAGGCAACCACCCTGGGCACTGAACACAATAGGACACTGAAAAAACTGAGTTTCTGAGTCAGGAAGGTTGAGGGCCAGAGCCTCCACGTGCTGGCTCACCAGTCTGAGTCTGTGTTGGGCACGTGTGTGCACCGTAGTGCGTAAGGGCATGTGCACATGTGATGAAGCTGTGAAAAGCAAGGGGATAAATTCCAATTCCAGGATAGTGGTTTTGGTGGCATGAGGGTATGCAGGTAGGGAGAAGGGCCCAGAGGGCTTCAAAGGTGCCCTCGACGTTCCCTTTTCCAGGCTGGGTCGGGACTCCGTGGACATTCATTTTATGACCATCTAAGCAGTTGTCTAAGTCATGTCGTATGTAGTCTTGTATATGTGAACATATTTCATCATTGTAGAAATGGAAACGAGAGACTCCCATGCCACGAGGCACTTGGGATTCAGCCAACTGGCATCGTGAAGGCAGCAATCTTGTCCGCCCCGCCCCTCGTACCCGTCGGAGCTGACCATGTCCTTCCCGTGGCCCCCCCCGTACCTGTGTGTCAGTGACAGTAATGCTTGGTTCCTGTATGTGTTGATGGGTCTTGTCCTTTTCCTGGACCGTGAGAGCCCCTGAAAGGGACACGTTGTTCGTGTCCACACGACAAGCACAGTGAAGCCATCAGTAAACACGATTGCTTAATCTTCAGCGTGCATCTCATTGTAAATCAGCAATGCATTTATTTAATTTTTTAATGTTTATTTCGAGAGAGAGAGAGAGAGAGAGAGACAGAGTGTGAGTGGGGGAGGGGCAGAGAGAGAGGGGGAGACACAGAATCCGAAGCAGACTCCAGGCTCTGAGCTGTCAGCACAGAGCCTGACGTGGGCTCGAACTCACAAACTGCAAGATCATGACCCCAGCCAAAGCTGGACGCTTAACCGACTGAGCCATGCAGGCGCCCCTGTAAAGATCCCATTTTTAAATAATATCTTAAATGAAGGATTGGCTTTATGCAATAGAAATACTGTTTAAAAAGATGGATGGTGGCTTTGTGCCTTCCGTTTTCTAAAACAGGTTTTGTGTATCCTGATCCAGTCGTAAAAAATAAGCCTCGAATATTTTCTCCACCTGTGTCTTTTTATTCTGTGTGGCACTTGGTGATAGCCTCATCTCAATTACCCTCTCTCCCTGCGGGGGTGTATGTAACTGGGGAGCCCTGAGCCTGCCGCTGTGCCCACCCAGAACCACCCTTCCCACTGGCGCTCCCGGCCTGTGACTGGGTGCAGCTGGGACACAAGGCACACCTACCCCCATGAAGCTGGTGACTCCTGACAAGTGACGCTGGCTTGGGGGTTCCTGATGGCAAGGCCACAACTTTCTAGAACTGCACTGCGGTTGGAGATTAGCCTGTGCAACTCCCCTTCCTTCCCTTGTCTCCATCTCGGGTCGCAGACCTGCACTGTGAGTTGACAGTTCTCCCCGCCTCTTCCGGCTGGGTTTGCCCAGACAGATGTTGCGTGTGTCTGCTTCCACTGGCAGGTCCTGCTTTTTGGCAGACTCGTGCTAACGCAACGGTGTGGTTCGGTCTTCCGGGCCTTCGATAGCCTGCTTCCGCCAGTTACCATGACGGGAGGGTTGAATCCATCCACAGAAATAGTGCATTTGTCTTTCTGTCTGTTTCTGCTTCACGTATTTTTAAAAATTGTGGTAAAACATACAGAACATAAAATTTATCATTTTTCCATTTTTAAGTGTATATAGTTCAGTGGTATTCAATATAGTCACGTTGTTGTGTTGTTTCATGCATTTTAAAGCTCTGTTGTTTGGTACTTATACATTTAGGATTGTTGTCTATTTATTGAATGGATCCTTTTATCACTATGTAGTATCTCTTTTTTATCTCTGGTGATATTCCTTGTCTACTTGGGTGGTGGTATAGCCTCTCCTGCTTGCTTACAATCAGAGTTTGCCTGGTAGATCTTTTTCCATTCTTACCTTTAGTTTATCTGTGCCTTTATAACTAAAGTGCATTTCTTGAAGATAACATGAAGTCAGGTCTTATTTTTTTATTCAGTTTAACAATCTCTAGTTTCTTTTAAGTTTATTTATTTTGAGAGAGAGAGAGAGAGAGAGCACGTACACAAGTAGGGGAGGGGCAGAGAGGGGGGTGGGGAGAGGGAGAGAGAATCCCAAGCAGGCTCTGCACTTACAGTGCAGACGTGAGGCTCAAACTCATGAACTGCGAGATCATGACCCGAGCTGAAGCCAGATGTTTAACCAACTAAGCCACCCAGGCGCCCCTGCTTTTTTTTTTTTCTTTTTAAGTAATCTTTATGCCCAGCATGAGGATTGAACTCACGACCCTGAGATTGAGAGTCGCAAGCCCTACCGACTGAGCCAGCCAGACGGCCTGATAATTGGCATATTTAGGCCATTTATATTGAATGTAATTATTGATATGGTTGGGTTTAAGTCAGTTTCTCGGCCTGACAGCTACTGACACCTTGGTCTGGGGTGCTCTCCTGGGTATTGTAGGTGTTTAGCAGCATCCCTGCTTTCTGCCTACCAGATGGCGTTTGTATCACCTCCAATTGCAGCAACCTCCAGAAACTGTCACATGCCCCATGGACAGGCTGGGGGACAGACTTGTCCCCAGTTGAGAGCCATCAGTTAGGTCTACCATCTTGGTAATTGTGTTCTGCTTATCCCACCTGTTCTTTATTATCTTGTTTTGTTTATTTTCTTTTCCTGCTGTCTTTCAGACTAATTATTTTTTCATATTTCTATTTTATGTCCACTATGGCTTGTTAGGCCCTCCCGCTTTTCTTTCTTAGCAGTTTTTCTAGGATTTACAACATGTGTCCTTTGACTTCTCTCCGTCGACCCTCAAGTAATGTAACATCACTTCACAAATAACATAAGAACTATTCAACAGTTTATTTTACTTGCAGATTTTGTGTCGCCGACATATGGAAATAGAATTGATTAATGTGTATTTTACTTCCATCGTATTTTATAGATTTCTTAGGGTTTTCTACACAGGTGATCACTTCTGCCTGTGCAGGAAGCATTTTACTTCATTTTTGCCAATGTGTATGCCTTTGCTTTTTTTTTTTTTTTTTTTTTACTTGAGTGACTGCACTTGCTGGGACCTCCAATACAATGTCCACAGTAAGAATGGACATCTTTGCCTTGGCGTGTACGTGCGTTAGCTGTAGATTCCTCGTAGATGCTTTTTGTTTCTACTTAATTCTGTTCCTAGTTTTCCGAGAGTTTTTTAGTCATGAATGAGTATGGAAGTTTGTCATATTTTTTCTGAATCTGTTGAGATGATAACATGATTTTCTTCTTTATTCTATTAATATGGCATATTACATGTATTGAGTTTGATTGTTAATCCAAATGTGTATTACTTCTGTAAACCCCACTGTGTAATGATGTATTATCCTTTTTAAAATCTTGCTATCTTCCTTTCGGTAATATTTTATTACAGTTTTTTTTTTTTTTTTTTGTATCGATATTCATGAGGGATGTTAGCCTATAAGGTTTTGTTTTGTTTTGTTTTGTTTTTGGCCTTTAGTTTTCTTACGATGTCTCTGGCCTTTCTCATCTAAACGTAAATGTCTCGTACTCTTGATTTTTTGCTTGTCTGAATGTCTCTGTGTCTCTAAGTTGTTTAAACAGATCTCTATTCAAAGCTAACAGTTTTTCTATCTTAGCACTTTGAAGATGATCTTCCATTGTCTTCTGGTCTCCATTGTTTCTGTTGAGAAGTTTTGTTTTTTTTAAAGAATTTTCTTTTTTTTTTTTGAGAGTGAGCATGCACGTGCATGTACGTGTGCAGGGGAGGGGCAGGACGAGAGGGAGAAGGAGGATCTTAAGCAGGCTGCATGCACAGCATGGAGCCCAATGAGGGGCTCGATCTCACCACCAGGAGACCATGACCTGAACCAAAACCGAGAGTCAGATGCTTAACCAACTGAACCACCCAGGTGCCCCTAAACATTTTATTTTCAAGCACTCTCTACACCCAACAAGGGGCTTGAACTCACAACCCCAAAATCGAGAGTCACGCACTCGACCAACCGAGCCAGCCAGGTGCCCCGAGAAGTTTGGTTTTTAATAATTACTCATATCTGGTCATGTGCCCTTTTTTCTGACATGTCAATATCTTCTCGGCATCTGAGGTTTTAGCCTTTCACTACACAGTGTGTATATGTGGATTTCTTTCTGTTAAACTTTTTCAAGGCTTGTGCTCCTGAGGACACGGGTCTTTCATGAATTCTGGGTAACTTTTAGCCCTTATCTCTGAAGATGTTGCCTTCTGTTACCCTCTTTTCTTCTGGCATCCCAATTAGATGGATCTTTGGATTCTGTCCCCTAGGACTCTGCTCTTTCACGTTTCTTATCTTTTCCTCTCTGTACGTGGCACAGATCTGTCATCTAGTTCAATAATTTTCTGTCAGCTCTGACTGATCTGCTATTTAATCACCCATTAAGATTTTAAATTCTTTTGACTCTTTCATTTCTATTTCCGATAGTAGGTTACTATTATGTTTTAAATTCTGTATATATTTCTTTAAAATGTTAAGCATATTTCTTTTATGCTCTGGGTCTCTTCGATCTAAATGCTGTACTTGGGTGGAGGCAAAGGGTTGTACAATTCTGTTATTGTGTTAAAAAATTATTTTTTTCATGTTTATTTACTTTTGAGAGAAAGAGAGAGAGCGTGTTGGGGGGGGGGGGGGCAGAGAGAGAGAGAGAGGGAGACCCAGAATCCGAAGCAGGCTCCAGGCTCCAAGGTGTCAGCACAGAGCCCAACGTGGGGCTCAAACTCACAAACTGTGAGACCATGACCTGAGCCGAAGTCAGACGCTTAACCAACTGAGCCCCCCAGGAGTCCCTGTTACTGTGTTTTTTTAGTTGATTCTTCTTCATGGGGCCTTTTTCCCATGATGGTTTCTAATTAGAAGCTCTGTGACTGGTCCTAATACGTGTGAATATGAGGGACCTGGGTCGAGACTGTGTCCCACAGATGGGGTTTAGACTCCCTCTGCCAGGCCTCTTGGCGTGCAGCTAACATAGATGCACTTCAGGTCAACTGCCTGGCATGGAGCTCTTTTTGAGTAGAAACAGAAGATAAATTCAAACTCAGATGCTGAATAGGGCAGGCTGGTGGTGACAGATTCTTGGGGAACATTCTTCTCTTTTATTCACTCTAGCCAATGTCTGAGAGAAGACAGAGTTCCTTGTCAGCTCCATTTGCCAGCAAATAGATTTTTCCCTAGTTTACACTTTGATGGTTAGGCCTTCAGGGGGTCTTCAGGGGCTTTTGCAGGGGATGGCCGTTCCAGTTCCCACCTCATCTGGCCTGAAGCCTTGTCCGCATTTAGCCCTGTTCAGCTCAGGAAACCAAGGCTCTTGGTGTTGGTCAGACAGTTCTGAGGCAGCCCGTAGCTTCAGGGCTGCCTTCTGTTCTGGTTTGACAGTATTCTTATCGGCTTTGGCCTCTGTTGATTTTTACTTCCTAGAGATCAGCTATGCATTTAAAAGGGTGTTTTGTGTATCTTACTCAGCATTTCTAGATGTTTGGAGAGGAACGTTTTTCAGAATAGCTACACTCATACTATAGGAAGTTGAAGCCTCGTATTTTGTTTCCATCTAAAGTATAGCTAAGTATTGATATTCTGATTCTTGTGATGTTTTGGTTCTTAAGAACTGTAACACTAATGATCATATTAAATAGCGTTAAGTCACAATGTTAGTTTATTAAAAAGCATGTGTACGTGCATCGCACATAGATACTCAGGCTTCCAGCCCACCTGAATGATGATTTTTATTTTGAAACCACTCATTCAGAAAAATTACACCACCGCTTTGTGCTATGACACGGCAAGGTCTCCAATAAGGGATCTTGATTCCTGATGTGGTGGCAGTTCTAATAATTATGAATTCGCAGGACAGTATTGTCTTCACCAGCCTGCTGCCATGTCAACACTGTCCACGTCTAAAGCATGTTCTGGCACTGTCTTTCCTCAGAGCAGCGCCAGTGGATTCTGCTCACGGCATCAGCACTCGTGTTTTCCACGCCGCAGATGATAAAGTCCCCTTATTTTCCTTCTTCTCCATCTGCGGGGAGCCTCCCATCTGCGGGGCCTGCGGATTCCCACTCAGCGCAGAGAGCAGCGAGGCAGGGCCTCCGGTCACACTTAGGCGTGAATCCCAACTCTTGACTCCTCCGGTGCTGTGTCCTTACACAAACCACTTAACCTTTGTCAAACGAAGAAAACCACAGCACCTGCCCTCACGGATGCGTGAGGAATCAAGGAGGTAATGCACGTGAAGTGCTTACCGGGTCGCCTGGCTCAGAATGCTCAGTAAAGGAGAGCCGCTGTGCTGTTCTCCTTGGTGCTGTCATCATGGCAAACAGGTCTTAACAGAGTCTTCTTTCTCCATCAGGGTTTACTGCCTTCCTGCCCGTTCAGCTTGCCACTTCTCTCCACGAGGCACGTATGACCTCCGGCCTCCGGCCCGAACTATAGCAAAAGGCCCCCGGCTGGTCTCGCCGCCTGGTCGCACTTCCTCCTCCTTCTGTGCTACACCCAATCAGGGTTATCAGAAACACTTCTGACCATACACCGGCAAAGTCAGGAATCTTCCTGGGCTCCCCTTTGCCTTCCTATAGCTTAAGATCCAAAGCCCTTCCCCTACATCACGATCTCATCAGATATATTTAGAGCCCCTGAGAATACCCTGAAAGCTGTAAAGTACCAGATGAAAGCGAGCGCAGTCATCACCACCCCCACTGGCTGTAGGCGGCTTTTCATGTGCCCGGCTCATTGCCACAGCTCAGCTTTAAGAGGGCGGGACTGCGACCTACTTCAGTTTATGTTACCATAGCAGCTGACTCCGTACCCTGAATGTGGAGGGTATACCTCCACATTTGATAGATTGAATACCGTGTAAATTACTGCATCCAAATATAGGGATCAAAGTGTTTTATTGGAGCTCTTGCCGTATATCTTAGCGGGGTCAAATGGTTGCGTGAGTTTTCTGAATGAATGGTTTCACTCAGTGGGCCTGGAAGCCTTGAGTATCTGTGTGCAGTGCTTGTACGTGTGCTTTTTTTGTTAATTTTTTGTTATTTATTTGGGGGAGAGAGAGAGGGGGAGACACAGAATCCAAAGCAGGCTCCAGGCTCCGAGATGTCAGCACAGAGCCCAATGCAGGGCTCGAACTCCCGAACTGTGAGATCATGACCTGAACTGAAGTCAGACGCTTAACCGACTGAGCCACCCAGGCGCCCCTTGTACATGTGCTTTTAAGTATAGCAATGTATTAAGTTTGAGTTAGCGTTACTTAATTTGATTATTGATCTAAGAACAAATTTCAGATGCATCACCTCCTGGATCCGTGCAGCTAGCCTGTGCTGCAGGCAGACCGTCAACTGCAGTGATTGAATGACTTGTCCATGTTAAGAGAAGAAAGCAGAGCTTGGATCTGGGGTAGATAAGCTCTTCTTACTCCAGATTCCTGTTCTGGGCAGGAAACAGCTCTCCAAGCCCCTGGTACTCTCTTGATCAGTACTTAGAATATTCACACTCAATTGATCAGCATTTCCTTCATTAGAAATGTAGTTTTTTTAATTTGTCATTTCAAAGATTAAAAACCTAGAGGGGCACCTGGGTGGCTCAGTTATTTAAGTGTCCGACTCTGGCTCAGGTCATGATCTCATGGTACGTGGAGTTCAAGTCTCACCTCGGGCCCACAGCTGTCAGCAAAGAGCCTGCTTGGGATTCTCGTTCTCTTTCTCTCTCTGCCCCTCCCCTGCTCTTGCTTTTTTTTTTTTTCTCTCTCTCTCTCAAAATAACTAAACTTAAAAAGTAATAAAGATCTAGAAACAAAAAGGAGGGTTTAACAGATGTCATTGTTTTTCTGAGTTGTACACATTTTCGATCAGGACTTTGTATAGGCTGCAGCCTGATGAAGCTTCTGCCTCCTTCCGCCTTCACGGGTGACGTTTGCGTCTCGGAAGCCAGCCTGGTTACAGGTCCATTTGTCTTTAACATTTGCTCTCTTAGGGGAAAACGGAACCCATCACAGTGGTGAAGTTGCTGGCCTGCTTCGACGACCTCGTGGCCGCGGGCACAGCCTCCGGGAGAGTTGCTGTTTTTCAGCTTGTCTCTTCCTTGCCAGGGAGAAATAAACAAGTAAGTACGAGTCACTTTAGCATTTCTTAACTTCTTGGCCCGTTCCTCGTGGATTTTAAAATGAAAACTCATCTACCCAGAAAACACACGCTCAGAAAAGCTTAACCCTATGCTTTTTATAATCAGATACCATTTTTGTTCTTGATAGGATGCTTGGCAGAATGCGCATTTGGGTAATTTAAATTTTGCTTAATATTCTCTGGCCATCCTCTATCAGTTTTAAAATAAATGCCCAGATGGAACCTTGTGCAGGCTTTTGCGTGGAAAACAAGGTTGGGAAAACCAGCTTCTCCGTAGGTAGGAGGGACTGTATAATCCCTTGGCCACGAGCCCCATCTCACATCTTTTCTTTCTTGTGCGCATTTTTATCGTTCGTTCCTAGCTTCGGAGATTTGATGTCACCGGTATTCACAAAAATAGCATAACAGCTCTGGCTTGGAGCCCCAATGGAATGAAATTGTTCTCTGGAGATGACAAAGGGAAAATTGTCTATTCTTCTCTGGATCTAGACCAGGTAAAACTGTTTCCAGAAATATTTTTGGCCTTCTTAGATTTGGAGAAATTATATCCATAATTACATTTTAGTCAAACAGTTTGCATGCTCAGTCATTGCCCCTTCATAATGTCAACGATTATTTTGTAATGTTTGCCTTCAAGGACGTCTCTCACTTTTCTAAGCTTCCCCTCCTGTGACTAAAGGGTTGGCCTTTGTCTCCACTGGAGCCTTCCTTCACAGTGTTCATCCTCCTGTGTCTAAGCATGTGGAAGGGTCCTGAGAAAAAGACGCCATGTCATTCTGGTCTCCCAGAAGGGTGTGTAGGAGCCGCGGGCAGCATTGCGTAATCATAACTGTGGCCTGGACAGAGGTCAGTGCTTTCTGGGTGGAGAGCTCCGCCCCCGGCCAAGCCCCGCCCAGGCCCCGCCCCTCACGTGGGAGGGCGTGGCAGAGGAGGAGGAGGGCCCAGCCCGCGTGTCTGCTGTTTTGTTTCATCCTGAGCCGTGCGTGCTCCGCTCCGGTCGGGAGATGAAGAACCCCCAGGCTCCGTGACCCAGTCACCAGCCCTGGGTCCCCCGCGGGTTCCACACTGAGTTTCTGCTCTAAAGCCCACGCCTTTCCCGCCGCGTGTGTGGCTCTGTGCGCCCCTGTGCTGCACCTCGTCACGAGAGGGACACAGACCGGGCCCCGCGAGACTGGGCGTTCCTCGCGCATTGTAGAAATTTAGCAATTACTGACCAACTGGCGTTTAGTCCCTCTGATCCAAGACTACCCTGTTACAAGTTTTCTCTAGCAGTAGTTCTTGAAGTTTTTGGTCTCAGGACCCTTCTACACGCTTAAAAGGAGGACCCCAGGGGTGTCTGGGTGGCTCAGTCAGTTGATCTACTGAGGGACGCAGATCTTTTCAAATGTGTCAATTTTGATTATATAATATCAGAGAAGGCATCTTTGTTAATATCATGATCATCCTGATCAGAAAAGTCTTTAGCTACTGGGAATTGGTCAAGTTCACAAGTGTGGATAAAGTTTTCAATTCTTTTTTTTTTTTAATTTTTTTTTTTAACGTTTTTATTTATTTTTGAGACAGAGAGAGACAGAGCATGAACGGGAGAGGGGCAGAGACAGAGGGAGACACAGAATCGGAAGCAGGCTCCAGGCTCTGAGCCCGACGCGGGGCTCGAACTCACGGACCGTGAGATCGTGACCTGAGCTGAAGTCGGACACTTAACCGACTGAGCCACCCAGGCGCCCCTAAAGTTTTCAATTCTAATCTTCAGTTGAAAACTTGGTATTTATTGTCAGTAACGCACACTATTACTCGTTGTCATTAAAGTGACAAGCTCCGTTTGGTCCATCTTGAAAATGTCTGCCAAATACCCAAGTTTGAGTAATTCTAGTATGTCCGGTAAATTGGTGTCCTGTGGGGGGAGGGGGGGGAAGCCACTGGTTGAGCTCACAGCTTTTAGAGTTGAACAAGTGCTTTTCCTTGAGTGAACCAGAGAACCTCAGGATGCAGCAGCCGGGCCACTCTGTCACACAAAATACAAAGCCGTGCATACCCACAAGCAAGGATGTGGTGCAGTTATAATTGTTCTGCAGAGACCGTCTTCAATGAAACGCGCGTTTTTGTCATGAGTGCGTGGTGGTGGAGGGCACAGTGACAGATAGTGGGCTCAGTGCCCCGTTCTGCCCACCGTGGCTTTTGTGTCAGAGCAAATGTCAGCTCAGTGAAAAAGACAGATGCATCCTAGCGTTATAATGAAGATAATGTTCACCTTGCAGACCCTTTGAAAGGGTCTTAGAGACCCTTGAGGACTGCAGACCATACTTTGAGAACCTGTTCTGCAGGAAAGCCTTAGGTTATTAAGGGTCCCTGTGTCGTACCTCCCTTCTGTTGAGGCTTTCAGGCAGCACTGCTCGTGAGCCTGCATTTCAGGAAGTAGAGAGAAAGCCACATGCAGAAAACAGTATCCTTGTCACACTGAGAACTTTTTTTCCCAGCTTTATTGATAGGTTCTGGTAGTTTTTTTTTTTTTTTTTTTAAGATAAAGTACAAAGAGATTTACATAAATAGGTATGGGAGTGTGTGCGATTTTGCAAAATTAATACAATGAATTGAGTTCCATCATAAGTCAAAAACTGAAAAGCTACAGTTTATGTAACGACAAATGTGGAGGAAAATCTGCTTTTTTTTTTAATGTTTGTTTATTTCTGAGACAGAGAGAGACCGAGGGGGAGGGGCAGAGAGAGAAGGAGACACAGAATCTGAAGCAGGCTCCAGGTTCTATCAGCACAGAGCCCAACGCAGGGCTTGAACTCACAAACCATGAATGAGATCATGACCCGAGCAGAAATCAGTCGCTCAACCGACTGAGCCACCCAGGTGCCCGGAAAATCTGCTTTAAAAGCACTCAGTGTCCGGGGAGAATGAGAATCGCTCTATCGTTATGGTGTCGGTGGTTATAGGACTGTATGTGTTCGCCAAAATCCATAGAATTGTGTATCTTGAACAGGTAAATTTTATTGTATGCAAATTTTACCAGTATATCTGATTGCTGCTTTTCTCTCCTACCCCCAAAAGTTCTGCGATAGAGCATCAGTTTTTCTTACTCAATTGAAGAAACTGGTTCAGGAGAAAAGTAACATATAGAAACAGACTTTCGACACCAAGAATTAGAGTTTGTGTTAGCAGTAAAATGCCTTCTAGAATTTTACTTTGTTCTTCAATATATTTACCACCATTTCAGTTTCTTCTGTTTTTTATGACCCTTTCAGTTGGCAAGGATATAATGTCCCCAAAATTGCTTTGAGCTCTTTGGGGGGATGAGTGTCTTGTGACCTTAGGTGATAGTTGTCACAAATAATCTTATGGAAAGTCCTGTTGTATTCTATTAGTGTAAACAATAGTCCTAAGTGCAATACGTTTCCGCTTTGGCCTTTATGACTCTTCTTTGAATGCTCCCCTGAAAACATTTTAAAAGAAATTATACAAAACCTTTAAACGTTTCTTGTCAAACTTGATGGAACCTGAGGTAGGTGTTGACATTGTTTTCTGATTAGTAAGAATTTTTCCAAATAATTTCATCATAGATTCCAAATAGATTCATCATGACATTGAATCTGTTGGGAATGAACAGCATACATTTTAAGGTGTAAATTGACTCCACATTGAGTTGGGTTTAACTGGCCTCTCCCACAGGGCGTCTGTAACTCCCATTTGGTGTTAGAAGAGCCATCTTCAATCGTGCAGCTGGATTATAGCCAGAAAGTTCTGCTCGTGTCTACACTACAAAGAAGCCTGCTTTTTTACACGGAAGAGAAGTCTGTCAAGCAGATTGGAACACAACCAAGGAAAAGGTGAGCGTCACACATGCCCCAGCGTGGCGGTTACAGAGGGGCCTTAAGTTTTCCTAGTTCACCTTGCCTAGGTTACCTTAGGCAAGCCCACAGTGGCTCTAAGCCTGGGGTCTCCCGACGGGTCCCTAACCTGCTTGGCCGCCTGTGCCAGCATCAGATGGGGAAAGCTCATCCCTCTCATCTGCTGCAGGGACCTGCAGGCATGGCCACTCTGCCTCGAGCGCCAGAATCCGGAAAGTCTCCGAGGTGGTCTGCTCTGGGTCCGCCACAGGAGGGGTGACGGTCCCCTCTGCACTGTGCAGGCTGTGCCGGGTCGGGGGTAACTGGTAGACGAGGCGGATGTGAGCCCGCCATCACGGATGCTTGAGAAACTCAGCGGGAAAGTTGTTAACAGCGGTGTCACCTAGTGTGGAGCTGTGAGGGGTGCTGTCAAGCTCCTCCCGGGCCTGGGGGTGACAGCAGACTTCCTGAGGGAGTGAGCGAGGGAGGAGTAGCACTGGCCAAGAGGAGTGGGGAGGCTCTGGAGGGGAGGCTGCCAGGCTGAGAGCTCGTCCCCCCGTTTACCTGCCACGTGGAAGGACAGGGGGAGAAGGGCTAGGCCAAGTCCAGCCGCCTACCAGCCGTGCAGGAAGAGGCAGCCGAGCGCATGGGTGACCTCCCTGCCGGAAACACACTTGTAGAGCTCGGGGCCCGGTTTGTGTGGCGGTGGGGTCGGTGAGGAGGGGCTGGATAGAGTGGTGGGGCCACCCCCTCATTCTGAGCAGAGAGGGATGGAGAGCCAAGTGGGGGCAGCAGGAGGGGGTGGGGGCCGGCAGCTAATAAATCAGGCAGCAGGATTTGGAGACGGTCCTGGTAAAGGGGCACTGTTGCCAACTGAGAATCAGAGGGGCAGGGTGGCAGGTGGGCTGGGGAGTGTGGAGAGCAGGCTGACGAGGAGACGTGGTGGCATTGGCCGTGCCCTCAAGGGAGGGCCCACGGAGGCTGGTGGTGACAGCTGTGCTGGTGACGATGGCTCGGAGAAGGGGAGGTGGGACGGGAGGAGCATGATAGCCCTTAGCTCATAAAAGATCTGGTCATGCCTTCCTTTGGCTTCTGTTTTCTGTGCTGAATACCCGCTCAATTCTGTCAACAGTTTGCCCTTTCTGTAACCGTAATGTCCCTGTTAACAGCCCCTGGAAGCGTAAGCACAGTAGAATTTGGAGCTTGGGCCCCGTGGTTGTGCACGTCTTCATCTTGCCTTTCCCTCTGCCAGTGTCCCCCTCTTCTGCTTCGCGTCCTGTCCTGGTTCGTTTTCAGGGTCCTACTTTATTGTGTCTTTTTGGAAGGATAGTGGAGTATAAAGAGAGATAAAGACCAGTTACTTTTCACATGGATAAGCCAATAGTGTTTCTCCTAAAACCTGGTCTTCTAGCCTCTTTTTTTTTTTCAACTTTTTTTTTTATTTTTTTTATTTTTGGGACAGAGAGAGACAGAGCATGAACGGGGGAAGGGCAGAGAGAGAGGGAGACACAGAATCGGAAACAGGCTCCAGGCTCCGAGCCATCAGCCCAGAGCCTGACGCGGGGCTCGAACTCACGGACCGCGAGATCGTGACCTGGCTGAAGTCGGACGCTCAACCGACTGCGCCACCCAGGCGCCCCTGGTCTTCTAGCCTCTTGTGTGGAAACACAAGCCACTCTCCATGAGCCCCTCCTGGTGCCTGTGAGTAGTCAGGTCTTCTGGCCCGGGCCAGGCCCTGTCCCAGGCTGCAGACACCAACAAATCTGTTCCTTTTCTCTCAGGGAAGTATATTTCCCTGAGCCTTAGAGAAGTGGGGATAACACAGAATAAATGGAAAAACTGTTTACAGGCTTGTTTTTCTGTTGTGTGCTATTTTATTATTTTCTTAAGCTTTTTTTTTTTAAGTTAGTGTTCTTTTTAATTTTTTAATGTTTTATTTTTAAGAGAGAGAGAGAGAGAGAGAGAGAGAGAGAATGAGCAGGGGAGGGGCAGAGAGAGGGAGACACAGAACCCGAAGCAGGCTCCAGACTCTGAGCTGTCAGCACAGATCCTGATGCGGGGCTCGAACCCACAAACCGTGAGATCATGACCTGAGCTGAAGTCTGACGCTCAACCGACTGAGCCACCCAGGCGCCCCTGTTGGGTGCTATTTTAGATTGTAGTTCAGAAAGGGCATCTGCTGTGTCTACCCTCCGGAAGCAGGGTTTCAGTCAGCAGGTGTTGGGTGCGTGCCTGCCGGGCAGCAGCGTGTGGTGGACGGCAGTGAGCCAGGGGACAGACATGTTGCCACGCCCCGGCAGGATGAATGTGAGCAAGGGGACGCATGTCCCCCCTCCAGCAGCACGGATGTGTAGGCTACAATGCACGCTGTGGACATTGTGGATCAGTCAGGGTGAAGCATCACAGGTGGGGGTAGCACGTTCTTGAGAACAGTCGGGAAAGGCTTCTATGGAGAAGCGCCATTGGAGCCGAAGCCTCAAGCGTGGGAAGGGCCGGTGGAAGAACATTCTGGTCTCAGGGTGCGGAACATGCCGAGGCCTCGGAATGGGCCAGGGAGCAATGTTTGTGGAGCCGGAGGGGCCCGGGGTGACCGTGGAGAGGTGCAGGTGTAAAATGAGATTGCAAAGGAGGCCCTGAGCCAGCTTGGGGACGGGGGCCAGAGGGACCACATGCTGTCGCCCGAGTTATTCTAGGCATGACAGAAAGCCATTGAAGTGCTTTAGGCAGGACATTAGCAACCTGAGCAACCTCTCGGAGCTCACCTTGGTTCTGTGTGGAGACTTCATCGGAGATGGGCAGGAGGGGGACGGTGAGGAGCAGGCGTGGAGGCTGGCCCCTGGTGGTGGCCGTCAGCGGGGAGCCGTAATTCGGAGATAGGAAGCACGGGGCTGGACGGTGGATTGGGTAGAGGGGCAAGGGGAAGAAAAGAATAGATTTCAGTGCTTCTGGCTACGGCAGTGAGGCAGCGGCGGTGGGTGCACCGCGGGGAGCCTGGGCTTGCAGTCTAGACTTCCGTTCTGTTGAGTTGGAGGTGCTTGTTAGGTCGCCAAGTGGGAGTCACAGTGAGGAGGGACATACACAGGTCTCAGCCAGAGACAAAAATTCAGTCATTACCTATAGGTGACACCGAGACCTCTGACATCGGGTATTTACGTAGGGACATTGTGTGTTCACGTGACATTAAAAAATCCTTACCAAGTCTCTGCTGTGGCCAGCATCCTTCTCGGTCTGAGGAGACAGCTGTGAACAGGGAAAGGCTCTACGCTCGGGGCTCCTGTTCCTGGGGTGGGAGGCTGACATTAAATGTGTTCTAGAATGTTCATAGTAATAAATCGGACTAGATTTGGACTAGAGCATATGGGCCAGAGAGGAGGGAGCAGGGGACACAGCTGTGTGCTGTGGGTACGCAGCAGGGGTGGTGGGGACCGGGGCAGACTCCTGAAGGAAGGGCAGGAGGACTCAAGAGAGGACCTCGGCGAGAAGCAGGAGCAGTGCACGCGCCAGGCACCCGAGGCTTTGGGGAGCAGCAAGGCCCGGTGTGTGTGGAGCAGACGAGGGGCCCGGGTGGGACCCCACGCGGCAGGCTTTGCGGCCTCGCCGGGGGCCGCTTTCTTCCGGCACGCTGGCCCTTGTGAACGGCTCCGACCAGGACAAGTCACCCGCGCTGTCCTGGGAGGGGCAAGAGTGGCAGCTCAGGGGGGCAGTCCGGGGCTCAGGCCAGGGCAGGGTGCTGGGAATGCTCGCAGGGCAGAGCTGACCGGGTGGGGAGTGAGAGAAAGAAATCAGCCAGAGGCTGCGGCCTAAGCCGTGGGTCGGGTGGGGGGTGGGGGGCGGGGCCTGGGGGAGAGGCCAGAACAGTGTTGTAGACGAGGTGGCACAGTCTTCCTCCCTGTGGAGAGCCGGAGGGGCAGGTGGAGGGCAGAAGCACGCTTGGGAGCCCGTAGCATGAGGGCGGCAGTTAGAGCTCCCCCCCCCCCTCCCGGCGAGATGGTAACTGGAGGAGGGCAGTCAGGGGAGGGAGAAGTTGGGGGCTACGCGGGGGGAGTGTCACGGGGCTGTCAGAGCTGCTGATGGCCCAAGAGATGGCCTGAGACAGACCTTTGGATTTGGCAGCCTGGTGGCTGCACACGGCCTTGCTTATGAGAGAGGCCGGGGCCTGGAGGGCCCGGAGGGGCCAGGATAGCCGTGTGCGGAGACAGCTGGTTTTTGTCAGAGGGAACACACATGGCGTAAGGGGCGCCTGGTGGGGAGCGGGTCTGGTGGGAGGTTTGTAGAGACGGACCATGAGGCCAGTGCCGGGTGGCTGGCACGGGCCGGCACGGAGGTTGAGATGTTGGCACCTGTCATGGCCTCCCTGGAGCCCACTGGCGGGCCACCCCAGAGGGCGCGGGGCTTGGATGGGGCCGGGTGTTCTCGGCAGGGAGCAGGGCGTGGGCACAGGTACACTTACAGGCAGGGAACCTCAGCAGGGGTGGGGTTGTGCTCTTCGGATGGAGGTGGCGACCCCCCTCAGACCGGACCAGGTAAGACACATGTTATGCCCAGAAGATCTCAGAGGCCCCAGCCGGCCCCAAGCATGTTGTGTCTCTGCTGTCCTCAGGGTTTATCTCCAGGTCTGTGTTGCACTGTTTCACATGGGGACCGTCCGGTCGTCGGGGCCCCTGCATGTTGCAGTCACATGGAGTGCGTGCCCCTGCAGAGCCAGCATCAAGTTCTGGAGCAGGGTCCCCACCCTCGTGCCCGTGTGACGGTCTGTGGGCAGTTGGCCACGGAGCCTTGTGTCACCCATCTTAGATTTTCTTTGTCCTGTGTCAGGTCCTCTGTCCACGCTCAGCATTTCAGGTCTCTGGCACCATAAATCATACATCACGTTAGAGAACACTCCTTTCAGGGGTGCCTGGGGGGCTCTGTTGGGTGTCCGACTCTTGATTTCGGCTCAGGTCATGCTCTCACGGTTCGTGGGTTTTAGCCCTGCATCGGGCTCTGTGCCGACAGGGTGGAGACTGCGGGGGATTCTCTCTCTGTCTTTCTCCTTGCCCCTCCCCCGCTCATGCATACTCTCTCTCAAAATAAATAAACTTAAAAAAACATAAAAAACACACTTTTCATATTAATGTGGCTCATAAAGGGAATTAAAGTGGTTTTTAAAGTCATCAGTGAGGGGCGCCTGGGTGGCGCAGTCGGTTAAGCGTCCGACTTCAGCCAGGTCACGATCTCACGGTCCGTGAGTTCGAGCCCCGCGTCAGGCTCTGGGCTGATGGCTCGGAGCCTGGAGCCTGTTTCCGATTCTGTGTCTCCCTCTCTCTCTGCCCTTCCCCCGTTCATGCTCTGTCTCTGTCTGTCCCATAAATAAATAAAAACGTTGAGAAAAAAAAAATAAAAATAAAAAAAAAAATAAAGTCATCAGTGATTTTTCTGGAAATGACCTCCACCAGAATTAAGTAGGTAGGTTAACTTAGTTATGATTTTAGAACCCCGCGATTTCTAGACCTTAAAAATTGGAGTCTGAGGGACCCATCCAGAATGACATCAGGTGCTGCAGAATCGGGACCACGAGTGGGTGGATGGTGGCCAAGCCAGCGGTTTAGGACGACTCGCCCCTCACTCTAGCCAGTTATCTCCAACTTCACTGCCTTCCCTCGGCTCACTCACCACATGTAGCAGTTCCTCAGAGCCAGCCAGCCACCCACCAGGACCCCGTCGGCACATTCCTTCCCCCAGAGGGCCCGCCCGCCCCTCAGCCGGGTGGTAGTCCTGGGTTTGGCCCTCTCGTGCCCCGGGCAGGACACGTCCCATCTGGACTGTGGGGCAGCCCTTAGAGCCTCTCTCGGATACAGCGCCAGCCAGGTGCCCGCACGGCAATTCCCACACACGTGCCGTCTGCCACGGCGTGTTCGCAGACATGGGCAGGGTCTCGCCTCCTTCGCCTTTCATGTTGCCCCCAGCACTGGGTCTTACATAACGCAGGAACTCCCCAGGCGTTTGTTAAAATGAGTGCATGAGTGACCTAAGGTGAGCAAATCAAAATGGGAGTGACAAGAGATTTTTCAGAGGACCTATAAATAGAAGGAAAACAGTTAACAGTTGGATCACCAAGTAGAAATTGATTTGACAGGAAGGGTAAGAGGAAGAGATTACGGAATGTTCCGTAGAACTCGTTTGGGTCTATTTAGTGAATCTTTCCAGAACAGATCCACCAAAGGCAGTAATCGAGCACGATGCCGATTTTAGCGCTGTCCATGAATGATCTACAGCGTAGAACACTCTTGGCTAATCTAACAATCTTTGTTTCAAAGTAAACTTGATATTCGATGTCCTCCTTGGACCTCGTCCAGAAGGATTGAGTTACCGGAGCCAGAGGGACCTAGGGGAATACTGAAGTGCAGAGAAATGTCCAGATAAGTTTATCTGTGTGGCTGTGTGGGATGTGCTCTGGGGACAGCCCCTCAGGAGGGCCACACGGTGGCACCCCACAGGGCTCTGCTGTGTGCAGGGAGGGTGAGGAGAGCGTAGGGAGCACATAGGTAGGGAGCACGTAGTGGGGACATGGATGGACCCACAGGTAGCTCCCGGCTGTGGGTCCCTGTAGCCCTGTGGGTGGCTGGTGAGCATTTGTGAGACATAGTGTCACCAGCAGTGCTTTTGTGCCTTCAGAGATTGTGTCACTTAATCCTCACTTAACCTTTGAGATGGGGGGAATGACCCCTGGTTTACAGATTAGGAAACTGAGAGCCAGGAAGGTTGCAACCACATGGCAATTGTATGTCAGGGCTAGAAATTGAGCCCAGCTGTCAACCTAGAGCCAGTGCTCTTTCTACTGTTGAAAATCAGAGATGTACAAGGGCGCCTGGGTGGCTTAGTAGGTTAAACATCCAACTCTTGATTTCTTTCGGCTCACGTCATGGTCTCACGGTTTATGAGTTCGAGCCCCGGGTCAGGCTCCTTGCTGACAGCACAGAGCCTGCTTAGGATTCTCTCTCCCTCCTGTATGTGCACACCCTCTCTCAAAATAAATAAATGTTAAAAAAAAAAATTAGAAGCGTTTTGGAGAGAGGATCAACAGGACTCAGGGCTGGACTGAAACTTTTTTTTTCTTTGTAATGGTTATTCATTTTTCAGAGAAAGAGAGAGCGCATGAGCACACAGGTGGAGGAAGAGCAGAGAGAGAGGGGGACACAGAATCCAAAGTGGGCACCAGGCTCTGAGCTGTCAGCACAGAGCCTGACGCGGGGCTCGAACCCACAAGGTGTCAGATCATGACCTGAGCCGAAGTTGGACGCTTAACCGACTGAGCCACCCAGGCGCCCCTGAAACTTTTTTTAAATTTGTTATTTCTTTTAGAGAGAGAGAGAGAGAGAGAGAGAGAGAATGAGTGGGGGAGAGGGGCAAAGGGAGGGAGACAGAATCCCAAGCACACTCCATGGTCAGCACAGAGCCTGACACAGAGCTCAACCTCACAACCCTGGGATCATGACCTGAGCCAAAATCAGGAGTTGGACACTCAACTGACTGAGCCACGCAGCGCCCCTGGACTGAAACTCTTAAACTTTCAGGTCTGGCAGGAGCCTGAGATCAGGCAAAGTCGAGGGACAGTGAGAACTCAGAGGGGTGCCTGGGTGGCCCAGTTAGGGAAGCGTCTAACTCTTGATCCCAGGGTTGTGAGTTTGAGCCGCACGTTCAGTATAGAGATTACTTAAATAATAGGATCTTTAAAAAAAAAAAAAAAAAAGAACTTCAGGATTACTGGTGGAAACATAGGTTGGTGTAATCACGTTGAAAAAAGTTTGAAATTGTCTTCCAAACCTGAATTTGTTCTTATCCAGAAACCCAGCAGTTACCCAACAGAGCAGTGGTTCCATCTCTGAAAGGTCCTTGACAGACTCTTATACCTGTGCACTAGGAGGTCTGTGCGAAAATGCTCAGGGCAATACTGTTTAAAATAAAAATGTAGAGGGGCGCCTGGGTGGCGCAGTCGGTTAAGCGTCCGACTTCAGCCAGGTCACGATCTCGCAGTCCGTGAGTTCGAGCCCCGCGTCGGGCTCTGGGCTGATGGCTCAGAGCCTGGAGCCTGTTTCCGATTCTGTCTCCCTCTCTCTCTGCCCCTCCCCCGTTCATGCTCTGTCTCTCTCTGTCCCAAAAATAAATAAACGTTGAAAAAAAATTAAAAAAAAAAATAAAAATGTAGAAATAATGCAAATGCTCATCAGCAAGAAAGTGAATAAATAACTTGCGGACTACTGTGTAGCAGTCAGAATGAATGAGGTGTAGCTTTTTTATCAGTAAAGATAAACCTTAAAAATATAATGTTAAGGGGCTCCTGGGTGGCTCAGTCGGTTGAGCATCCACCTCGTGATTTCGGCTCAGATCATGATCCCAGGTTGTGTGATTGAGCCCCACGTGGGGCTCTGTGCTGACAGCACAGAACCAGCTTGGGATTGTCTCTCTCCTTCTCTCTGCCCCTCTTCTACTCATGTGTGCCCTCTCTCTCTCTCTGTTTCAAAATAAATAAGTAAACTTAAAAAAAAAGCAAGTTGCAAAAGTATACAAATGGCATCATACTTTTTTTATACAAATGAAATTGTAAATTTCATAGTGTTTAGGAATACATAGGTATGTGGTTAAACTGTCAGTAAAAGTAAGGGAATAATAAACACAAAATTCAGTCTAGTGGTCATACCTGGGGTACAGAGGGGCAGGAACTTTTTTAGGAACTTGAGAGAACATCAACAGTGTCGCTGATGATTTATTTCTGAAGTTGAGGGATAAATTCCCAGGTGTGCACTTCATTTATTAGACTTCATAACTCTTATGTACCTATAAATACATATATGTAATATAGTGTATATATATATATAATTTATATATATGGTATATACGATAAAACATATATAAAGCATACATTCTTTTGTGTTAGGTATTTCATAATTAAAAAAGTTTTTTTAATGTTTATTTATTTTTGAGAGAGAGACAGAGACAGAGCATGAGTGGGGAAGGGGCAGGGGGAGAAGGAGACACAGGATCCAAAACAGGCTCCAGGCTCTGGGCTGTCAGCACAGGGCCTGATGTGGGCTCGAACCCACGAGCTGTGAGATCATGACCTGAGCCAAAGTTGGATGCTTCACCAACTGAGCCACCCAGGTGCCCCCATAATTTTAAAAATAGAGAAAAAATACCACGCCTGGGGACCAGAAGAGAAGCAGGTTCCTATGATGGGTTTAGACTCAGTTGTAGGTGTGATGCTCATTCATTGGGATGTGGGAGTGAGTACAGCAATCAGACGTTAAAAGGAACAGAATTTCCGAACAGGGGGAGGATAGCCAGACCTGGATTTGTCCGCATCTGCTTCAGTTTCCTTTTCTCGGACACAGGAGCTGTACTGTTCGCCACACGGGGCCGTGGTGAAGATTGAGCCAGAGGCTGGAGACAGAGCCTGGGGCCTGGCACCATAATAGTCGCCATGAATCGGGATACTGGCTTAACAGTACTGGGTACACAGTTCTGAGGGGGTTGCAGGAAGTATGATACAGAGACCTTGTCCTCTGTGGGCAGAGATGACAGTATGGTTCCATTAACAACAACAAAACAAAAACAACAACAACAACAAAAAAACACAGAAGAGGTTCTGAAAAGACATTAATCTTGTTTGGGCTTAGCCAAAAAATTCTTATTACAGTTGATATCAAGGGTTGACAACCATGGCTTTAAATCAGTTCATATTTGTTTTTTTTCTGTTTGTTTTTTTTTCTTGTAATATCAGCACTGGGAAATTTGGAGCTTGTTTTATACCAGGGCTCTGTAAGCAAAGTGATCTGACTTTGTATGCGTCACGGCCTGGGCTCCGGCTCTGGAAGGCGGACATCCATGGGACTGTTCAAGCCACGTTTATCTTAAAAGATGTCTTTGCCGGAGGAGTCAAGCCTTTCGAACTGTACCCGCGTCTGGAATCCTCCAACAGGGGAAGTTGCAGCTTACCTGAGAAGCACCTGGGGCTCGTTTCATGTTTCTTCCAAGAAGGCTGGGTGTTGAGTTGGAATGAATATAGCATTTATCTTCTAGACACTGTCAACCAGGTGAGTGACGTGATCGCACCACAGCTTTGGTGTCTGTAGGATGTTCATCCACAGACTGTCTCTCAGGATGATAGAAGGAACAATATTGATCCTAATGCTTTACTTTTTTCCATTGAGTCAGTTAAGGAAATCAAGTGATGGTCTGATTATTTTGTAGATTTGAAGAAATGTTTGGTTCTGGTAGAACCTTCTAGCTGTTCTGCCTCTAAGCAGGAGTCTCGTCTGCCCTACCTGGAACTTCCTCACCTGGAACTTGAGGGCAGAGTTAGTTGGGTTGGGGCCACCAAGCTGCCTTTTTGCCCTGAGCTGGTTTCTCTTCCTAAGGAGCACTTTGAAAGGCATTTTTGTATTCTTCACGTACAGACAACTTCAGTTTTCTTTTTTCTCTGGGTACTCTAGGAACTTGATACACACTTGGTAGTTAGTGGGGTCAGAACGTTTGGTGATTACACATCAGTTCCTTTCTTCTGAGCCCTCACCCCCAGTGCTTTTTCCAACAGGTGCAATTAACTTCATTTTAGACGTAGAGAAACGGAGACAAAGGGTCTGTCCGTGTGTGCGTTATGGCTGCCGTCAGAGTCTTTCAAACTAAGGGCACGTTTTTAGCTATTCCTCAGGGTTATTAAAAATTAACAAAGAATTTAGACGCTTTTCTCTCTACACTGAATGGCCTCTTGTTTGTATTGTTGGCTGAAAAGAGAATTTTTAAAACTTGTTGCAGGCTCTGGACATCCCAGGTGGCATCAGGGCCTCTCCCCACCCCCGTTCGTCCAGAGCTGTGAAGTGCAGTGCACATGAGTCTCTCCCACAGGAGCACACACAGTAGGGGCCTAGCCCAGGCAGCTCATCACTGCAGCCCAGGAGCGACGTGCCCGTGGACATTTGTCCAGAGTGCTGTGAGCTGTGATGAGTCCTGGGCAGGGCAGGGCCACTGAGGCTGAGCTCGCCGGGGTCCATTACCCAAGGAGGCGGTGTCTGAATCGGGTTGGAACTCTCCCAGGGAACAAGAGTCAGGAAAGGAGTCTGAGCAGAGGCCATGGCGTCATGGAGGAACAAGGCTGGGGTTTGGACTGGCCCGTTCCACTTGGGGCACCTGTACCACAGCCCAGGGCAGTTGTGGGAGGCTGACGGGCAGGTCCAGCCAAGGAGGCTGAGCTCCACGTCCAAGGGGGTCGGGCGCAGGTGGGACGAGGTTCCGAGTGGCTGAGAGGTGAGGCAGACAACCCGCTCGGTCTCGTGAGTTTACCGGCAAGGTGACGGTCACGTACCTGTCAGATATTACCTACTTTGGCTCTGAATTACTCTTTTTTTTTTTTTTAATTTTTTTTAACGTTTATTTATTTTTGAGACAGAGAGAGACAGAGCATGAACGGGGGAGGGGCAGAGAGAAAGGGAGGCACAGAATCGGAAACAGGCTCCAGGCTCTGAGCCATCAGCCCAGAGCCCGACGCGGGGCTCGAACCCACGGACCGTGAGATCGTGACCTGAGCTGAAGTCGGACGCTTAACCGACTGAGCCACCCAGGCGCCCCTGAATTACTCTTTTTTAATTTAATCTCTACACCCAACGTGGGGTTTGAACTTACCACCCTGAGACCCAGAGTCCTGAGCTCCCCTGACAGAGCCAGCCAGGGGCCCCTGCTTCGAATTACTCTTCAGAAGTTTCAGAAAGTGGCCATAACAAAGCACAGTTGTCATTTGACTTTGTAGGACTCCTGCACATGTTTGTGTGTTTTCAGCTATTACTGTTGCCTGGTTGTGTGATTTTCTTTTCTTTTCTTTCCTTTTTTGGACAGGCTACAATTGCTGGTTTGGAAGGATCTGGTGATATCGTGTCTGTTTCCTGCACAGAAAATGAAATATTTTTCTTAAAGGGAGATAGGAACATTATAAGAATTTCAAGCAGACCTGAAGGACTGGCATCAATAGGTTTGTATTTGTCATAAAATGTACTGTGTGTACGTAATTGTAGTTTACAATTTACAAACCCTCCCATCACTTCGCTTTTTCTAAACAGGTATTTGGAGGGTTTCCTGTGCTTCTTAAAATACGGTTTATGAGACTTTTCTTGAAGCTTACCTATTTCAAGGCTCCCGTCACACAGCCTCCCGTTTGGTAGAGTGGCTCCGTGGGTCTGGAGGGTGGGAGGTTGGGCGAGGAGGGAGAGCACAGCACCCACACGACTGCTCTCTGGTGTTTGGACGGCGTGTGGGATTAGTACTTCAGAAGATAGAGATTTGCCAAGATTTTAGAACATTTAAATCTGCTATCTGGGACATATCCTTTGCCCTTAACACAGTTCTTCTTATCGCATTGATTATTCTCTCTGCTTTTGACCTTTTTCTGTAATTCATACAAGCCCAGGTTCTAACGAGTGAATTGTCACACACGTTCTCACGCACACTTCGGTGGTTTGGGGCTCATCAGCAGGCTTGTTCCTGACGGTGACGACAGTGGTGTGGGCCCCCCCCCCCCAGTCCCTCCACTCCACTCTCCTCCCTGTCCTTGTCCTGTCTCTGTCACTCGCCTTGTTCTCCCTGTGTTCCAGAGACCGCTAAGCACACGGCATTCCTGGCCTTACAAGGTCCTGAGAACAACCTTAAATGGAAGGTACTGGTTTCATAGACGAGGAGACTGGGACTTAGGAAGATGCAGCTCCCCCTCCCCAGCCAGGCCCCCTTCCTCCCCGGGGTTGGAGCGGCCTCATCCCCTCCTTGCTCCCCGCACTCCTGTGGCCACCGTTGATGAGGTGGCCTGCAGGGCACCCCGTCCTCCAGCTGCCAGCCCTCTCCGAGCACTTGCCCTCTCCCGCTCACCCGGGCACTTAGCAGGCCCGAACGCTAGGTGTGTGGCTCTCTAGGACGTGGCCTGCTTCTGGCAGGATGGTGCTCCCTGCTCTCTCCCCACTCCTTATTGAAGACCCGGGTCAGGGATTCCTGCATTTTTGAAACTTTCCCCGAGTGCTTCAGTTAAGTCAGCCCTGTCTTCACTTGAGTGCCCAGGGAGCTCCCTGCTGCCCTTCTGACCATGGAGCCGTTCACTTACTGTGTACCTTACCCCACAAAATAGTAAACTTTTTGGTTGCAAGGATCTTGTGAGTCCGCTTTGGGGGCCTACACAGCACATGGCACGTAGAAAGAAGACCCTGAGTATTTGTTGATTCGTGGTGTCCCCATTTCACAGATTAGAAAACCAAGGACTAGGGGGGTAAGTGACAAGCCCCAAGCCAATCAGCATGTCTTCTGATTTCTGCTTCTGCCAGCATTTCTCCTCTTCCTCCTGCCTTGCCGCGCTGGTCAGAAATGGGGCCCCTTTGCTGTAGCCACGGCCTTGCGGTGTCCTGGCCTCAGGGGCATCTTTGCTGTTACTTCTCTCGCCAGCATGAGCTCGCATCTGAGTCCCTGCAAGCGAGGGAGTGGAGGTCCTGGACCGAAGCGGGTGGGCGGGTCACAAACCCCAGGCCTTCCAGAGCGGAGCAAGGGGGGGGGAAGAGGAGCCCCGGGGGGCAGGCCACTGGACCCCGTGCTGGCAGGCCTGCCTGAAGCCTTACTCCAGCCTCATCTCTTTTCGTAATGTTTAGAGTGCAAACTGTAGCGAGTAGGAAATTGTACCAAATGGTGTCTCATTAGCCACATCTTTACCTCTCGAAAAGATGAGTGTCATAAGGGCTGTCTTGGCCCCAAATTAACCATCTCTTAAGAGATGGCCGGGTGGGGCTGGGGCGGCAAGTGAATTACCTCTTAAGTCAGAGGGTGAGTCGGCATAAATACTCCAAATTCTAGTCGCGGAAAGAGTGTAAGTTCTGACTTTTGAGTTTCTGAGCTGCCGGCGTCAGTGTCGTCAAGGGCAGCGTGGCCCCTGGGGACAAGTAAGCTCTAGACCACTGCCTTCCGGCAGGACTCTCTCACAGCCATGAACATGGTCTGTATCTGCGCTGACCGGTGGGTGGCCGCTGCCCACACGTGAGTGCCACAGAATTTCAAATTTTATTTGGCTTTGACGGGAAATAGCTGCATGTGGCAGTGGCCGCTGTATTGACAGGGGAGCTCTGGACCCACACCTGCCATCAACCTGCGTGCTCTTTGACAAGTCGCTTCCCTGCCCGGGCTTCACGCAGAGCAGAACCCTCCCTGTCAGCCCCCAGCGTGCACGCCACAGCCGACAGTCTGCCCCCGACGACCCTCACAAGAGGACGGGGATTCCCGTCTGTCTGGCCGATGGCCCCAGGACGGCGTCGGGCACATCGTGCGTACTCGGTCACAAACAGGTGGCTGAACGGGTAAAGTGGTCCCTAGTCGTGTGGCTGGAACCCTTCTGGCCACAGTGACTCTGGCGTCGTGTTGAGAAGGATGCTGCTCTCTGCTTGCTGTGGACGCTGCCTTGTTAACATACTTCTCCATCCTGACTTGGTGCTAGCAGGAAATCACCTTCACTCCTTGAATTTCAAGAAATAGGATTAGAGGAGGGCACCCGGGTGGCTCAGTTGGTTAAGAAACAGGATTAGAGGTACACGTGTGTTTTTCAAGTGCCTCTGGAGTAGTAGTATATTAGGGCGTGGTCTCAGTATGGGACATCACTAAGCCCATTTCTCTTCTTTATAAATTCTTTGTGAGCTGATGTGAGGAATGCTGTATACTTAGTGGCGTTCCCGGACTCTTGGGTATTTACAAAAGGCAGCTGTGGGGAACCCTTTTCCTGATCTGGGTACGTGCGCTTCCTGGAGCCCAGAACCGTTTGTTGGAATCTTCTGTGCGATTCTTTTAGTTTCGTTAGTTTCTCTGACTTCGGCAGGCTGGTGTTCAGCAGGGTTAGCAGACCTGAATGAGAGCACGTCGACTTTCTTGTAACCGGTAGTAAACCCCACCCCTCCTTTCCCAGCGCGAGACAGCCTGGAGACGTCCGGGTGCGCAGAGCAGGCGTCCGGGCAGCGCGCGGAGAAGCCGTCGGTGGCCACGGTTTCTGAGACGAGGCTCAGGGGCTCTTCCGTGGCCAGCTCCGTGGCCAGCGAGCCACGGAGCAGGAGCAGTTCTCTCAACTCCACCGACAGTGGCTCCGGGCTCCAGGCGGCGCCAGAGCCGGGGAGGGGTGGCCAGCCCGCCTCACAGAGATTCAGCGTGATCAGCTCAGAAGAGTTTGAGCAGGAGCTCGTGGTGAAGCCGCTGAAAGTGAGAAAGAAGAGGAAGAAGAAGTCAGGTACGGCCTGTGGCACCGCACGCACTGACTCCTGCTCACGTAGAGGGTGCTGCCCTCACGGAGCGAGCGCCTGCCCACTCGGGTGAGGGGAGGCAGGGAGGGTCTGCGGCCATCACGTGTCCCCCTCTGTGGAGGGGCTTTGCCGTGAAGTATTTCATAAGTTGCAAAAGAGCGCCACGCACACTAAAGCGCTTCCGCAATGTTTAAATCCTATAACGTGCACCTGCGTACTTACCACCCGGCTTGCTGGCCCTGGGGTTCCACTTCTCAATATTCAGGTAAAAATTTGGATCTATCTACATATACCATGTGTTAGACCAGAGTCTGTGAACCCGGGTGGAAGGAAAGTCATGGAGGCAGAGGGATCACTGCATTCGGGGTTGGCTGTGTTACAGACGTGCGATCTAACAGAGAACTCGTTTAACTCTGTGCTCCTTGGTTCCTGTTAGGCCTCCGTAGCTACAGATACTGCAGTGTCGAAGGACAGGTATCGGACTGCTGAGTGTTTTAATCATTTTAAACAGTTGATCTGCAGTCCATCTGTTCCTTTGTTTTTTCCCCTTAACATTTCTTAAGAGCCCATCAGCCTGTCTGACAGTTGCGTCCCTTTAAAACACCTCTGCGTTAGGATAATTCATACTTCACTTAGGTATCCGTCGTTTAAGATGCATTTCTTCTTGAGCCAAAATTTTGTTTTTTAGTCTCTTACCGTTTATGCAGAGTCATCTGTCATCTTAAACGTTCTTATTTTAAATTAGAAGGTGGAAGCCGGAGTGCCTGCCACAGTTCCCTTGAGTCAACTCCCTGCTGTGAGTTTCCGGGTGACAGTCCCCAGTCCTTGAGCACAGACCTGCTGTCCATGACCTCAAGTTTGGGCAGCATCGTGGATCGCTCGAGCACAGAGTCTCCTGACCGGGAGAGTAACCTCAGCGGAGAGGTGAATGGTGTCCTGCAGGAGAATAATGACCCCGAAGCGTTCAGTGTCCTGGAGGTGCCTGAGCCTGCCCCTGACGTACTGAATGAAGGGCGTGACAGTAGACCTGAAAGCCCACGATGGAACCATGCAGGCGAGACGGAGCCACACAGGGGAGTGTGGACTTCACTCTTGGAGCTGAGAGAGGCTGTGGAAGGCAGTGATGTTACCGACCTCAGAGAGGAGCCTTGCCCCGCAGACGAGGGACTGAATAGCAGACAGTCACCCTGGCGAGAACAGGCCCGGGAAGCAGGGGACATGGAGCCCGATGACCCCCAAAGCACTTTTTCTGAAGCCCCCTTCCTAGACTCACCCCCGGTGCCTTCAAGCCTCAGCTGGGCCCCCCAGGCGGAGCAGCGGCTGCCGGGGACCAGAGTTGGCGAAGGCAGTGCCGAGGGGCCCGGCAAGGGGCAGGGCTTCCTAACGCACGTGGAGGCCCCCGGCCACCTCGGCTCATCTCCCTGGCACGCTGTCACTGACAGTGACACAGGCCTAAAGGAAATGGCGGCCTCGGAATGTGACCTGGGGAGTGCGGGAGGACGGCGGACTCCCCCGGTCTCTGCCTTGGCGACTCGCACCCGTGAGCCGCCGGTGGAGCAGCCTTCCCGGGACCAGGTGTTAACGTCCAGCGACGAGGAGGACATCTATGCCCAAGGGTTGCCTTCATCTTCTTCGGAGACGAGCGTGACTGAGCTCGGGGGTAGTCGCTCCCTGCAGGACCTGAGCCAGCCCGGCACAGAAGACACCGGGCTGCTAAAGTCAGATCAGGTATGTGGGTTTGTGGTGGCCAGTTTCCTGTGGGTCCACCCGACGACGCACGCGGTTAAGGAGGGGGACTCTCGGTCATCCTACATAAGGAGATTTCTTTAAAGTGCTTGCTTTTCTTAGCAGACGATTCCTATTCAATGTATTTGGTTTCAAAACTAACCGCGTATTGTGACTTTCCCTGCTGAGTAGTTGTGAGGCACAGATTATGAGTGTGAACTTAGGTGTGCTTTCCCCAGATGTACCACTGGATTCCCTCGATGCCGCTATGTGTATCGTTTGGGCAGCTCTCGCCGCCTGCTGGGCACCGTTAAGCACTTTATGAGTCCACCTCATTTACTCTCAAAACAAAACAAGCTGTGAAGTTGGCGCTGCCGTGGTCCCCGTTTTACAGTGGAGGGAACCGCAACTCGGTTAAACGGCTTGCACAGGTCCCATAGCAAGTGGAGCGCAGGGCTGGCCCCGGGACCGTCTCCCAGCCTCTGTGCCGTCCCACCTTCAGAATGAAATGTCCCGCTTGCTTGCTTTGAGACCAATGCCGAGAGGTTAGACCTTCCCCTCGGTCCCGCCTGCACCCACCCCCTCTTGAGAGCCCTCGGCTGCAGGCGCCGCGGCACGCGGACGGCCAGTTGGGATCTCAGAGTCTTGAGGAGGCAGACATACATGCCGATCGTCTCAGCTGAGCAAGACTCTGGGCCGATGGAGGAGAGCACAGGGCGGGGCTCTGGGAAGCTGTGAGGCGCCAGCCAGGCAGACGACGTCCTGGGAGGGCAGGCTGTTGGGATTCTAGGCCAGAACTCTAGAAAAGCCCTCCCCTGGGTGATCGGGAACCTGGCACTCGAAAGACTTCTCTCCCACCTGCTGACAGTCTTCCCCCCATCCCAGTAGCTGGAAAAGCCCAGAAATTTTGTGGCACGTTGGGGAGGAGGTTGAGAAAGACTTGTCACAGGGCGCAGGGCCAGATTGGCAAGGGTCGGGCGCCATTCTCTGTGAAGCAGTTGACTTGCATATTCAAGTGATTGTGCAGGTACATTGATTTCTTCTGCAGTTTCAGAAAACTGTCAAATTACAACGACTTCATTTAGCTTTGATTTTTAAAAAGAATCCAAGCAGCCAAACTATTGGTCTACAAAATTCTGCCAGGCTGAGCATCTTGGCCAGATTTCCATCAGCCACACGGTGTGCCCCATGTCCAGTGATGGGGACCGTATTTAAAACACTAGGTAGCATATCTGCAAGGATCGGAGGCACGAAATAGCAATTTGCACGCACGTTGTATAAAGCACGGTATGCCTGTGCACAAAGCACCGCATTAGGAAGGTGTTCTCGGATGACACGGTGTTAGCCCGGGATGCTGTGGGGTCCCAGTAGGGGACGGCAACTCCCATTTCAGAGCGCTTGCTTCTCTTCGAGCACAGCCCAAAGACAGCGGGTCCCCGCCTGTCTTCTCGGAGCTCCTCGGCTCTGCGAGCTGAAGGACGCCCTGCATGCTTGGCCTGCTGATGAGAGCATGACAGCACAGCTCTGTCCTCTGCCACAGAACTCACCAGGCTCTGTCCTTGTCAGTTTGCAGAGAGCTGGATGGGGTACTCTGGCCCCGGCTACGGCATACTCAGCCTGGCGGTCTCCGAGAAGTACATCTGGTGCCTGGACTACAAAGGCGGCCTGTTCTGCAGCGCGCTGCCGGGCGCCGGGCTACGCTGGCAGAAGTTCGAAGACGCCGTCCAGCAGGTGGCAGTCTCACCCTCAGGTCGGCCTCCCCGGCTCCCTGCTGGCACCCCTGCAGCCCGCCTCACACACAGTGGGCCCTGCAGTGGCCCCATCCCTTCGGCAGACCGTCCCGTTCCTCCCGTTCCTCCCGTTCCTGCAGGTTTGGGGGGTTTTCTCCCACAGAACAGGGGTCACTCCATTTGACATCAGTTAACAAATAGAGTAAATGGATGTCTAGTTTGAATTTTTGTTTTGTTTATTAATTGCAATGGTGACACATGAAATTGTTTTTATAAGCTATACAAGTAGCTTGAATTTGGGGGGTATTTTTGAGAGATTAACATACCTCTTATAAAAAGAAAATCTGTTTCAAAAATGAAAGCCTTCGGGCTGATTGAAAAATAAAATGTGTTTGTTTCCTATTGTTGCTTTAACGCAACTGAACTAATGAAGGTGGGCCTGTGGATGTGTTGGATATGTTCAGATCATTTGGTTTCCTTCCTAGAAATTATTTTTTAATGAGCGATGTGTATGCTTTAGCCAAATAATCTACTCCCTGAGTGTAGAAGAAAAATGTGTTCATTCTCACAAGCCGTACTTAGGCTAACCATTTTTAGTGAACCATAGCAGACATTTCCTGAATGAGGTTTGACCAGACTTTCAGCCTGTACTTCCCCTACCTGTCTAGAATCATTTGCTCATCTGTTTTGTCATAATGTTGGCCACTTCACCTATTAGGGGGGTAGGTAGGTAGAATAGAAGAATAGAAGTATTTCTATGCATTTGCCTCATAGTAACGAACTTATTGTTGGGACATTGGAATAGAAGTCAGACATTGGAGGGACGCCTGGGTGGCTCAGTCTGTTAAGTGTCTGACCCTTGATTTCAGTTCAGGTCTTTTTTTTTTTTTTTTTTTTTTTTTTATGTTTGTTTATTTTGAGAGAGAGTGTTCATGAGCGGGGGAGAGGCAGAGAGAGGGAGAATCCCAAGCAGGCTCTGCATTGTCAGCACAGAGCCCGAAGCAGGGCCTGAACCCACGAACTGTGAGATAATGACCTGTCAGCTCAGGTCTTGATCTCAGGGCTGTGAGTTGGAGCCCCACATTGAGCGCTGCACTGGGCATGAAGCCTATTTAAAACAAAAAAAGGAGGAGGAGGAGGAGAAGGAGAAGTCAGACAGTAGAATAGAAATCAGACAAAACGTACTCTGTGGCCTTTGACTCCTCCTCTGTAACTTCAGTGTGCTTTCAGCTGGGTTTCCTTTGACCCTTTCCAGGTCACTGTTTGAAATACTAGTTTGTTCAAGGTTGCTTTGTTTTAGCTCTTTGCTTATTTGAAAATTATTTTTCCTTAGTGGCTGAGACATAGTGTATTTTGTTAGCGGGCCTTATATAACTGTGCGTTTTCATTCTTTCTCTGTCATTCACTTCTGGGTTCATCTACCCAGCCATCTAAAAGCTTTGGTCCTGTCCTGATTCGGTTGACTACTTTGTGTCTCCAAAACGTTCAGGCCCTTGTTGACCTAGGGAGAGTTCTGTCTCCACCAGCTCAGTGTCTGAGCTGAGGGGCCCTGCAGCCTTCAGGGGGCACCGAGCCCCATGGCGTCCAGGGTGTGCTCCGGGCTCGGCCGTCTGTCCTGCTTTTCTGCTCTTACCTCAACCCTACTGTCAGACCCTCTGGTCTGGCCTGGCTGTGCTCTGCTGATTCCCTGGTGGTTTCTTACACATGGCTGCCTGGCCTGTGCTACACCCTCCATCCACATAGAACACCTGCCTCCTTCCCTCCCCTTCTTCATGTCTTTTCTTTTCTTTTTCTTTTCTTTCAATTGTATTTCAGGAATAAACTTGAATGATTCATCACTTACATGTAACACCCAGTGCTCATCCCTACAAGTGTCCTCCTTAATGCCCATCCCCCACCCTCAGTTTGTTCTCTGTAGTTGAGTCTCTTACTGTCTGTCTCCCTCTCTGTTTTTATCTTATTTTTCCTTCCCTTCCCCTATGTCCATCTGTTTTGTTTCTTGAGTTTCATATATGCGTGAAATCATATACATTTGTCTTTCTCTGACTGATTTTGCTTAGCAAATACATTCTAGCTCCATCCACATTGTCACAAATGGCAAGATTTCTTTCTTTTTGATTGGCAAATAATATTCCAGTGTGTGTGTGTGTGTGTGTTTGTGTGTGAGAGAGAGAGAGAGAGAAAGAGAGAGGGACAGAGGATCTCAAGCAGGCTCTGCACTGACAGCAGAGATCCCAATGCGGGACTCCCAACCCATGAACCACAAGATCACGACCTGAACCGAAGTCGGACATTGAACCAACTAAGCCACCCAAGGGCCTTCTTCACCTCTGTGTCTCAGAATCCCTTTCTGAGTGAAAAAGGATAGCCCAGCTCAAGTGCTTCTTTTCCGTGCATCTTATCCCCTTAGCTGATCCAGAAATGCCTCCTTTGTGTCCCTGTGGGACTTTTCAACCTCCGGTGGGGCACCAGTTGTGCCTCCTAAGGTAACCGCGTCAGCACTACCACTGCCCAGCTCTGCCTGTCGTCGATATGTTCTCACCTCCAGTCTCCCTAGCAGCCCCGTAAGGAATGGATGAGAAAATGAGGCACGGGGACGCCAGGCGACTCGATGCCCGAAGCCACATGGCTGGTGGGCGGTGGCCAAAGGCTCATCCTTGGCGCTGCGGGCCCTTTCCCCAGTTGGGGTAGAAGCAGAAGGGAGAGAGCGGTTTTAGAAATCTCTCCCCCGACACAACCAGAGTGAAGTTTTTTGTGTGAGTCACAACATTTACTGGATAGTGAATAGCATTTGTATTTCCGCAGGCGCCCTCCTCTGGAAGATTGAACAGAAATCTAACCGAGCTTTTGCTTGTGGAAAAGTGACCATCAAGGGAAAGCGGCACTGGTACGAAGCGCTGCCCCAGGCGGTTTTTGTGGCCCTGAGCGATGACACGGCCTGGATCATCAGGACGAATGGAGACCTATACCTGCAGACAGGTAACTGGAGGCTGTGCTCCAGCGCCCGGCGGTTTGGGGGTAATTGCTTCCTGCCATCCTTCACTTTGTTAGGGACATGCTTAGAACGGTCGCAATGACTAAGGAGCTAAAAATCAATGTAAATTAAAGCATTTGTGGAAAGACAGTATTTGCCATTGGAATAAATTAGCAATTTCCCGCTATTGACTCACATTCAGCCCAGGACAAATTTAAGGCAAAGATTAATAGGATTAATTAGTGAGATACAGAAACAGATTTTTCTCCTCTGGCCAAGCATTGCCTGTCACATGTGCTACAATATCGAATCTTAGCGGGAAAGAAAATGACATTACAGTCATTTTTTCCTTTAGGTTATGGCTGGATTTTTTTCAGCCAGGTCAAGGCCTGCTCCTGTATACTTGTTCACATGTGGGTCTGCAAGAAACACTGAGAGAGAATTTGATCAAAGTAGCAGTTCAACTTCGTCCTAATAAACTGCCCTGTGGGAACCTTGAGCTGCTGCAGGAGACACAGGGAGACTTGCTTATTAAACACCAAGTGTAACAAGAGTGAGTGTTGGTGTCCTGTCAGCAAAACGGTCTGTGAGTTTCCAAAGGCAGTGTGATTTGCCGGCATCTGCAAAGGATATGGGGCACGGAGCTCTTTTTTGGTCGTCAGGAGGCCATAGTGGATTTACGTAAAGATCGGTCTTCTGACCATTTAATATTGCTGATTTGGAGAGAATGTTTTAATGTGCTGTGAGCCGTCAGCCAGGGATGACTCTCTGAGATTGAAAGCCTTTGCACCTGTGGCTCTCTGTTGCATGTGGGAGGGCCAGCATCCCCGAGAAGCTGCTGCCTGAGCCCTGGTGGTCAGCCTGGCCAGCTTCTGGGCCACCTGCCAGTCCCGGTCTCTCCATCCCAGTTCCTGTGTCTCCCTTCAAATGCAGAGAGCTCTGGAAAGGCAAGGGCGTATCCAGTTTCCAAGGGCATTTGAGTTTCGTTCCTGGTGGGGAACGGAGTGCTTGTGGCCTGGGGTTGGGGAGTGGTGGACCAGACCTACCGCGTTAGTCCCTGAGGCTGGCCTGAGTATCTGTGGTGTAGGAAGACCCACAGGTGACTCTTCTGGTCAAGGACGAGACGTGCCGCCAGGGACGTGGTACACGGGGTGCTTCTGCGATTAGGCGGGGCGCACCCTCAAGCAGCGAGAACTCATCACAGGCCGACGCCACGGAGGATGGGCTTTTAGTTACCAGCTGCTCTGCCAGCTCCTGAGGACAGGCTCCAGGCTTGTGAGACAGGCTACAAGGAGGTGGGGGCAAGAGCCCCAGCCGGGGAGTCAGGGACCCTGAGCTCTGGCCCTGCCGTGGCCTTGCCTTCCATCTAGGGCCCCCCCACCCCCACTCCCGCCAACTAGGTGAGAGCAGGGAGAGGGCCGCTGCCTTGTCAGAGCTGCTCCGCGGAGGGTCAGAGGAGGGGCGGAGGCCTCGGACCCCCGCTGTCGCCAGCGGCTGCCACAGCAGCTCGCTCACCCAGATGCTCTGAGGGGCATGGCCGCAAAGCATGGGCGGGCCTCGGGAGCGGTGCTGCTTCGGGCCCGGGCCTCCTGGCTCAGCCTCTGGCCGCTCTCCTGCTCTGGGCCTTCTTGTTCTTTCCAGACTTCGTAAGATACTTTGGGACGCCGGGATTCCGAGCTGTTACTCCTTCAGTTTTCTTTTTTTTTTTTTTTTTTTAATGTTTATTTATTTTTGATAGAGAGAGCACCAGAGCATGAACAGGGGAGGGGCAGAGAGAGAGGGAGACACAGAATCTGAAGAAACAGGCTCCAGGCTCTAAGCTGTCAGCACAGAGCCTGACTCGGGGCTGTAACCCATGGACTGTGAGATCATAACCTGAGCCGAAGTCGGACACTCAACCGACTGAGCCACCCAGGCGCCCCCCCCCCCGCTTCAGTTTTCAAAGCGCATCTGCAAACACTTCAGATAGACGCCATACTTAAGCACAATTTCGCCATTTTTTGTTGACTGACCCTTAGAAAGACAAAGTACTTATTACAAAAGAGCAGGCAAAATACCGAAAAAAGGAAAAGAAGCAGGCGACAGAATACAAATGAGGTATGAAATCCTGATTGTGTGTTGGGGGGCTTCCTGTCTGTCTCCCTGGCAGGTCTCAGTGTGGATCGCCCCTGTGCCAGAGCCGTGAAGGTCGACTGTCCATACCCACTGTCCCAGATCACAGCCCGAAACAGCGTGGTGTGGGCGCTGACAGAGCAGAGGGCCCTCCTGTATCGGGAGGGCGTGAGCAGCTTCTGTCCTGAAGGGGAGCAGTGGAAATGTGACATCGTCAGGTATCCGCAGGAAGAGCAGAGACCTCTCCATCGGCTCGCTTGTCGCACCCTCGGTTCTTTGTCTGCTCGACTCCCCTTGAGGCACCCATGTGAGCCCGTCCTGGCCAAGGCTGCTTCTCTGGAGCTCTCCGCGGGGATAGCATTCTCTGGAATTCTCAGGAGCCAGTGTCGGCAGCCTGACCTTGGAGACGCCCTGTGCCTGCCGCTGCCTGGCAGACTGGGCGTCGGGTCAGAGCTCGGTTTTTTGAAATGCTGCTGCCCTCTTGTGTAACCCCGAGCATCACAGCATCCCGAGTCTCTCGTGACGGTCTCTGTTCGGCACCGCCCAGTGCTGTCGGGTGGTTTCTGTTTACAGTCTTGACGGTTTAGGGCCAAATGTTTTTCTTTATTATCATCCTAGTCCGTGGTAATCAGTCTCTGAATTTTAATTCGTTGGGTTACTTGTACCACTCAAAATTTTATTTGCAGACCATCAAATCGTGTTGCTGATTAGAAAAATGAGACTAGGATGCCCTTGGTTTGAACCTAGCAGCCCAGTAAACTTGAGCAGGTAGCTCCTGGGAGCCTCCCTCGGGCTGGGCTGGGCACTCGAGGGGGTCTGCCCCGAGCCCTCCCCTCCCAGGGCTCCTGCTCCGGGGGAGCCACGTAACCGACTGATGCCAGTTAGCGTAGATGGTCCTAAACTGGGAGTGCAGCCCGGCTGAGCCTCGAAGCTGGTGAGGGCTTCACCAGAGGGATACGAGGGAGAAGGGCACCGCCCGCAGCGAGACGGTGTGTGCCCAGCTGCTGCCGCCCAGCACAGCCTGGCACATGGGGGGCGCCTCCGCTCGCTAGATTGTGCAGGAGGGAGCAGTGGAGGGTGTGGGGCTCCAGGCCTCGCGTCCCTTAGGTGCCTGCATTTTCTTGTAGGGTATTTTCTCATCCCTGCCAGGCCGGGTCTTCAGTATGTCTTTCAGAAGCTGTCACACATTTAAACAACATAACTGCACAGTAATGTGACTCAAAACTGGACCTTCTGTCCTTGGAACTTGTGGGTGGGGTCCAGACCCAGCCAGGAGACACTTGATTGCCACGTTCCTAGTCACGCTGGGCGCTTGGAGTGTGGGTGCTGACTCCCGTGTTCTCTCCCATTCCCAGTGAAAGGCAGGCTTTGGAACCTGTCTGTATAACTCTCGGGGACCAGCAGACTCTGTGGGCCCTGGACATCCGAGGAAACCTGTGGTTCAGGACCGGCATCATTTCCAAGAAGCCTCAGGGAGATGACGACCATTGGTGGCAAGTAGGTACTCAGCTCCAGGGCCACTGGCCAGAGTGTCTCCCCGGGTTGGGAGCTCTGCTCCCCGTTTATAGCCCTTGTCTTCTCCGTAAAGAGACTGGGAAGGTTGGACTGAATTAAGAACACTCACTCTTTACTCTTTGATGAGTTAAACTTCGCTGTATTTGAGCACATTAGAAATATCAAGGGCTTTTCGTTGTAGGAGATAACTTACAAAGCTCTCTTGGCTTAAATTTACAGGCTTTGTTTATTGTTTCTTTTTTTGTTTCGGTGTTGCTTAGCAATTTATCCTCACGTGCTAAACAAGCCCAGGGAAGACCTAGGTAATGATGATGTTTAGGAAGATCTAGACGGTGGGTTTGGAAACCCAACCTGCAATTCGAATTCATCTCTCTCCGCTTGCTCTCAAGGCAAGTTTCTAAGCAGGCAGTGTTTCAACAAAGAAAGGAGAATGTTCCCACGTGTTCCCAGAAAAGGAAACACTCTGCGTCATAGTAGGGTATAAGCAAGCTAACTTTTCGTGACTCGGTCACAGCCAGAGCGGCCTAGAACGTATTTTCAAAGAAGTTGTCCCTTCTCCTCTTTGGTACCGTTCAGTGTAACTATAGCTATAGGATCCAGGCTCTGAGCTGTCAGCACAGACCTCGACATGAGACTCGATCCCATGAAGTGCGAGATCATGACCTGAGCCGAAGTCAGACGTTTAACCGACTGAGCCACCCAGTCGGGTTGCAAAATAAAACCAGGTTCAGGTTTTATTGTTGCCTCAGACTTGCTGTGTTGAAGGTAGTTCTTTCATTAGTGGCGCTTAGGTCTTTTGAATGAGAATGTGAAAAATAAGTTGTGTTTGCTATTTAATGAGTAAGTATATGTGTACGTATGTCTCTAATTTGATATGCCAGATACTACCTGAGAGGTCGTACAAATGATTTCAAAATATCCTCTCCATGCTTGTAACTGTATTGTATGGTTATACACACACACACACACACACACACACACACACACACACACACTCTGTCTCTCATGTATGTATGTACCCAATTCCATTTTTAAATAACCTAAAGAAAGTTAGATACCATTTACCATAATATTGAGAACCTTATCTTTAGAGAACTTTAATTTGACAGAATCCTCTACGAGGTATTTGGAAGCGTAGTTATTCTAATTACCGTGAGACTGATTTCTCTGTAGCTCTAGAGCCAGCTTTATGTTTGGCTGCTAAACCTTTCTTTTTTTTTAATATGCATCTTGCTTATCTGCAAGTGTGGGGTGCTAAGGCAGTCTGTCACCGACTTGCTGCGTGGCCTTGGCGTGTGCACTCCCAAGGAAGAACAGAGCTCTCTGGGCCGGCACACAGCAGTGTGCGTCGTGAACCCCGGAGCTGGGTGCCCAGCGTTCTGTGGGCTGCGATGGAGACCACCCAGCCGGGCCGGCGGAGCACTTACCGACAGTAGGAAGTGGGGCCGCGGGGTCCTGATGTGGTCTGATGTTCACTTAAACTTCAGTTAGGGCGGCGGCTCATCCTTTCCTGGATTTAAAAAAAAAGCAGATTTGTACACTTAAGTACCAAGTATTGCGGTAATTCCCTTTTTGTTTGGTTTTGTTTATTATAAATTAAGTTCCCTATGATAAATGACGTCCCTTTCACTCGATTGTGTGTGACCTGGGAACGTGGCCTGCACAAGGAGTACTCCCCTAGGAGTAGGGGAGCAACATTCTCTATAATCCAGCTCGACGGGGCAGACGTATACATGACAGTCACAGGGAATCAGATTTTGACCATCTTAGAAAGAACTTTCTCACAACCAGAGCTGTCGAACAGGGAGAGGCTCTCCCCAGAGGCGCCCTGGAGAGTGTCTTTCGGGAATGTCAAAGAAGCAGCTTGCACACGTGAACCAGGGTGTGCCCTTCACGTCCAGGGCAGTCCCAGCTCATGCTGTTGAACTGGTGTAATAACTGACAGTCCTAGTTTAGACTGTAACCCTACTTACAATACCTCGTTTGACCCGAGTTGTGATTCTGAGGACCGCACACTGTTGTCTGTTGGAAATACCTAACTTTGAAAGCAAAATCACCCATTCTCACTGATTAGAATAAAAGGCTTTGGGGGCCTGAGGGGGTCACAGGTAATCACAACAGTAATACATGCTGTTGTGACGGTCCATATCCTATGAAAACGTAGAAAACAGAAGGGGACGTTTTCTGCCATCCCTCTAAATCCGACCCTCAGAATCAGCTACAGCTGGTGGTCTGGTAGCGTCCTGCCGGCCTTGCTTCGGTGCTGGCACAGTGGGCACGTGCACACGTGTGTCAGGTGTTGCCGCACGAGGGCCGAGCCTCACTGTCCGTGCACAGGGGGAGGGCGCTTGTGACCGCTGAGAGCGGGGTGTCTTTCCGTCCCCTCCAGGTGAGCATCACAGACTACGTGGTGTTCGACCAGTGCAGCTTATTCCAGACCATAATCCATGCCACGCACTCGGTGGCCACCGCAGCCCAGGTGCCTGTCGAAAAGGTGGCGGATAAACTGCGCATGGCCTTTTGGTCTCAGCAGCTTCAGTGCCAGCCAAGCCTTCTCGGGGTCAACAACAGTGGCGTCTGGATCTCCTCAGGCAAGAACGAATTCCATGTCGCTAAAGGAAATCTCATCGGTGGGTGAATTACTTGTCTTTTTACGTTGACTTGATTGGCAGCTTCACTTTAAAGCCAGCACTGAAACAAAAACTTTAAGATCTCAACTTCAGAAGATAATTTGGTGCCAGTGTGTGAAGTGTTTGTAACGGAGACGTTCTTTATGCTTTGTATCAGTTTCCTTTTTTTTTAATCTGTCGTTCCTGCAACTTGGGTACCAGCATTTGGCTGGTGTGTGATCAGTTTCTACTGGGAATCTGTGATGATATAGAAACGGCAGATGGAGCTCATTTTTATGTTCATAATTTCACATTCAAATGAAAAAGCGCACCCAAACTACAGTGCTCAGTAAGACAGAATAGTCCATTTACTAGAGGAAAAGTTCTTTCACTGTGGGGAATGAAGGCTCTGATGAGATCTGTGAGTGTCGTTAAGAATCCACGTGTACCCACGAGGACTTCGTTTCTGTGAGTGAAGCCCAGCTTTGTGCATTTTTTCCAGCTCACCTCCCTCTGCACATCTCACCCGCCCACCCACCCAGCTGACCCTGGGCAGGACTGGGCTCTGCTTGTCAGCATAGAAAGGAAAAAGGGACTGGCCTCACAGCACTGGTGTGGACCTCCTAATCTAAGGGCACTCTAGAATTAGCTGTAAGAGGTTTGAAAAACAGTTGTCCCGAACCAGAGCTTTGGTGTGTGTGTGCTTTCTTCTTTCTTTAACACACTTCGTATTCCTTCTAGGCACTTACTGGAATAATGTTGTTCCCCGAGGGACAGCTTCTGCAACAAAATGGGCCTTTGTGCTGGCTTCCACTGCTCCCACAAAGGAAGGTTGGTTGAGAAATGTAGTGCATGGGTTGGCTGTTGCAAGGTGAAAGCCATGGTCTGACCATGGCCTTGCTGCAATGGCGTTGGCTGGGTAGGCCTCAGAGATGGTACAGTGGCTTCACGGACAAGCATCCCTTGTCGGCTGAGCCACGGCCCCCGAAGCTGGATAGGCCTGACCAGGAGAGAGGGTCTAGTGTGGGGACATCGAGTGAGTCCACAGGCAAAACACCATTTCAAAGGAGAGAAACAATTGGTGTCCCACCAGAGCCACAGCAACATGGCAGGGTCCAGAGCACTGCAGCCAGTGGGCACCAGGGTTCTCTGGGTGTCTTCCCATTTCCCCCTGGGAAGTGTTCCGTCACCTCCCGGTAACCTCTTTCAGCCTGGTTTTCAGCCTCCGGCTAGTTGTGCCGTGTTAGGGCAGGCCTCCCCTGCAGAGGCAGACCTCCTGCAACTCCACTCAGGGCGCCCCTCCCTCCCAGAGCGTGGGGTTTGGAGCTGGGAGAGGCAGTGCAGCTGCACAGGGAGCTGAGAGCCCAGGCAGTCAGGTAGCCCCGCTGGGAAGTGGCAGAAGGCTCCATCTAGGATCGCCCCGGGGGCGGGACGGGCAGATGCCGAGAGGCCTGTGGTCCAGACAAGACAGCTGGGTAGTCAAGCCGTTAGTCCCACTAGGATTTGGCTAACTTGTCTGTACAGTAAAATGTTTTCTTGCCTGATCACTCTGACCACGGTTCTGAAATCTGTAAGCTCCGAAAAGCATGGGTTCTCTCCTGAGATTGGCACAAATTCATTTGGCAACAAAACCTGACCTGAACCCGACGTGAGGCTGCTTATTTCTGCCACCAATTAGGCCTGTGGCAGGAACAGTACTGCGTTTCGTGGCTGCCTGGCTCCCTGAGGCTGTTACTTAAATTTGTGGCATGCCCAACACCTTAGGTATTCAAAACCCAAAAATACTTGAATTCTTAAACCTATCTGGCCACAGGTTTTAGACAATGTGTTCTCACGGAGGTTCTGACTTTCCCAGAGGTTGTCTGCATTTTAAACTGAACCTGTTAAGCCTGAAGGACTGTACAAATGGTGAGGAGGAAGAGAGGGTGAATTTTGAGGAGAGGCTGGGGAGGAGAGGAGGCCCTCCGGCTTCCCAAGCCTCCCTGCCCGCCCACCCCCTCCACCAAGACAAGACTAAGGGAGCTTTGGTTCCGTCTTTCTGAGGAATCGCTGACGTCCCTCCCTCCAGAGCGCCAGGCACAGCCAAATCAAAGACTCTCCAGCCCTTACAGAACATCCGAGGTCGGAGCCACGGAGCCCACTTTGTAGCCTTCATCAGATCTCATAAGCCCTGCTTTCTTTCCTCCCTTTAGAACATCTCAGGCTTGTCTCTTAACTGGCTGGCCATGGGGTGCGCCTGTGACCTCTGATGTAAAGCACACAGAGCGAGCCTGCTGCGCAGCCGTGCTGGGAGCTGTCGGGTGTCGCCTGCCCAGAGGCCGGGGTGCCTTGTGCGTTTCTCCAGTGACGAACATGAACCTTTTCCGCAGGAAGTTCCTTGTGGCTGTGCCAGAGCAGCAAGGACCTGTGCAGCGTCAGCGCCCAGAACGCTCAGTCCCGCCCCTCCACGGTGCAGCTGCCTCCCGACGCCGAGATGAGGGCTTACGCCGCCTGCCAGGACGCCCTGTGGGCCCTGGACAGCCTCGGCCAGGTGTTCATCCGGACGCTGTCCAAGAGCTGCCCCACAGGCATGCACTGGACGAGGCTGGACCTTTCCCAGCTAGGTAGGCCCCCGTGGTCAACTTGTGGGAATTCTTTGGCTTTTAATGTTTACTTACTGGAGACAGAAAACAGGTGGGGAAAGGAGAGAGAGAGTCCCAGGCAGGCTCCACGCTGTCAGCGCAGATCCCGACGCAGGGCTCGATGCCACAAACCCTGGGATCACGACCTGAGCCAAAATCGAGTTAGACGCTTAACCGACTGAGCCACACAGGCACCTCTCAGTTTGTGTGAATTCTTATAGGACATTGTGTAAGTTGCTGGATTTTAGGACATTGATTAGCCCCTCGTGCAGATTAAATGGGCCTCGTCATTTTACAAGGAGCCTCCTCACCCCTTCCAGCTTTGCGGTGCTTGCAGAGCCCAGAAGGAGCGCCTGCTCAGAGCGGGTTTTGCCACCAGAACTTGGCGCTCCCACTCAGCATGGCGCGTGGCTTTGTGTCCTTCAGGTCTTGCGTCAGCGCCCGTGTGCCTGTCTCTTCTGCAGCTAGAATAGAGTCCCACAAGCGGGTGTCCTTTCTTTCTCGGGCAGACTGAGGGGATGACGTGCGTCTCCTGACTGTGGCTCTTCTCTTGAGCCTCCCCTCGAGGGCTGCGGGGCGCATGATGCCGTTTATAAATAAGTCATTTGTATTCCAAGAAGCAAGATGATAGAGTGAGCCCACAACATTAGGTTATTCTCCAGGCATCTTCTTGATCGACCAGCAGCTCACGTGTGGCTCGTCTGACAGTAGAGACTTGTCTAAAGGTGGAGGCTGCTCCCCCAGAAGGTCCACATGAGCCTTAGGGACACTCGCCCGCCATACGCTTTCCCATCTTGGTCAACAGACAACCAGCGTTTTTTGTTTGGTAGGTGGTAAACTTGAATTGTACCGGCATTTAATATTTGAGAATTCAACCACATGTACTCATTACAAAAAAAAAGGAGAGGAGTGCCTGGCCGACTCAGTTGGTAGAGCATCGACTCTGTCTCCTAGTCGTAAGTTCAAGCCCCACGTTGGGCTTAGAGTTTGCTTAAAGTATATTTATATTATATATATATATATGTATGTAATATATATATAATATATATAATATCTTACATTAAAAAATATACATTGAGATATGTTTGTATATTATATATAATATGTATTTGATATGTATTGATGTTAAAATCTATATATTATATATAATAAAATATATAATATTAGTTTGTGTATATATATATATGTATAATACATATGCAAAGAGAAGGAGAAAGAAGAAAAAAGCAAGGGAGGCCCCACTGCCTGCCTGCCTCCCCAGCAGCCCCCCGCTGTGTCTCCGGCCGCCGGGGGCCTCTCACCCTCCTATGAAACAGGCTGGGCCCCCACTGGTCTCAGCCCGAGTGGCCCCTGCAAGGTGCCATATAGAGGGGTCATTATTCTTCTGTCCAACAAGACCCCCAAATACCATCCACGTCAACTAAAGAGGCGGGTTGGCTCTCAATTGAGGAAGCAAACTCTGTTCTAAAGCTAAGAATTTTCCAGGGTCATGCTCCCTTCAGCAGCATGTATACTAAAAATAGGAATGTTCCAGGGTCATTTTGATGACTTATGCTTTTGGCCTCATACCCTGTCGTTTGAACCTAATCCCAGCACCGGGACCGTCACCTTCCAGCTTTTGGGAGTTTGCCAGCCACCGTTACCGACGGTGACTGACCAGACCAGGCTGTGGCTGCTTATGGCCCTGAGTGCTGGTGACGGGTGGCCCTCCTGCCTGCCCTCAGAAACCTTGTTGCTGTTCAGAGATCCTACTGGCCCGAGCCTTTCTCTAGCAGCCCCGGCCAGACCAGTCTGGGAGATGCTACCAGCTCCTTCTGGAGGAGGCCAGGGCACGATTTGTGTCCTGCCACCACTGGATCCCGAAGACTGTGGGAGGCCTTGCTCTTCTGCACAGGCCAGGTGAGGGCAGAGCCGTCTCCCCAGAGCATCCCCCCACCCCCACCCCGAGTCCCTCAGAGGATGCCGTCACGCTGGAGTGAACGCGGGGCGGATGGCATTGTGCCAGGCTGTGCTGGCGGGACTGGCTCTGCCCGAGGCCGCCAGGCACCCACAGCTCCCGCCTCCCTTCCGGGGCAGTGCAGTCCTCCTGGCACCAGCTGCACGATCGCAGGTCTCTGAGGTGCCCGTGTGAGCTTCGCTGGGGCGGCGGCCATTCTTTCCAGAGAGGAGAAGCTCAGCTTTGCAGGGATTGAGGCTCAGTTTAAGAGAACTCGCCCTGAGCAGGCTCTGGGACCCTGGGCGAACTGATGGGTTCCCTTTGGACCTTAATTCCTCCCCTCCCTAATGGGAACAGCCATCCCCACCGCAGACAGGTGATGCGGGGAAGCATCCTGCGTAAACGTGAGCTTCTCGGGCAGGTGTCCTGCACAGGGTCCTTGTCGAGCCAACGTTAGCTGCGTCACGCCATAGGCTGGTGGGGGGGAGTCCAGCCATGTGCCTGGTGCCTGGTGCCTTTCTTGGTCTGAGCTCTAGATTTTGCCTCTTCATCTGGGTTGCCAGCAGACACTGAAATGATGGACAGAGAATCCTTTTATCACTTTTTGAACATAGGAGAATGCAGTCCTGAGTTGGTAGACGGCGTGTTGGGGCAGGGGAGGTGGGCATGATGATGTGGGAGTGGTGCCGGCCTCCTGCTGTGCCAAGGTGAGGGGGTGGGGGGTAGGGGGCGGTGAAAGGCTGGCACAGACCACCAGGTGCTGTGTTGCTGGGCTCTCTCCAGGTGTGGTCTGCGTAGCCTGTGGGACAAACAGGTGAGTCAAGCGGTTTATCATTTAAACAGGGGGATGCAGATTTCGAGTTCAGGTGTGTGCTCCCTGCCCTGAGCCTGACGTGCGAGTGTCCTTGGAAGGCTGTCATTGGGCAGCACGCATGGAATAGTAGGAAATAGAAAGTGTGGTGATCTGGGTACCAGTCCTGCCTTGAATTGCTCGCCTGGATTGTTCCTTTACAAGTTGGCCGTGGTGGGTGCTCACAGCAATGAAAGGAAGCACAGCCTCTGCAGGAGTATGACTGCGTGTGAGGACTCTGTCTGAGGATGAAACTCCTCTCTCCCAAATGTACCCTTTTTCCTGATTTCACTCCTCTGCTCCCATTAAATTCTTCTGGAAAAGGCAGACTCCTCTGTGGCTGTCTGCGGCCAGCACATCAGCAGTGTCTCTTCTGTCTACCTCAGAGGGTCTCCTAGGCCCTGATCCTTGCTTCTCTCCCAGCACTGTCAGGGTCAGAGGCCCCTCCTCAACGCCTGTTCTCCTGCAGGAACCGCCTCATGACGCCAGGCGTGCCCACCCCACCCCCTCTCGCTTGCCAGATCCGTCTTCCCCAGACAGCTCCAGGGGTGGACCCTCAACATCAAACAGCTCCACACTGCCCCGGCGTCAGGCACTGGGGGCCATCGCAGACTGGCCCAGCCTTCCTCGCACGGGCCTCGTGCAGTGGTCCCTCCAGCCACCAGTCGTTGTCCCTTGGTGCACGGGCCATGCTTGTCTTGCCACGGCCTAGAATGTCCTCCTTGCTCTTTCCTTCCTCTGCCGCTTCTTCGGGCCCGAGACTGTCCCCCGCCCTGCCCCAAGCTTTCTTCAGTCAGTGCTCCCCTCAGGATGCTTTCCCACCGCGCGCCCTGAACGCTCTGCGCCTGCTCTGTATGGCGGCCATTGTAGCCTGACCCTGTGGCGTTTGCACACAGAGGAGGACCGTGTGCTTGGCCACATCCATGCACAGCAGGAAATTAGGGCGTCAGGGAAAGTGGTTATTACTGGTAAGCCCCATTTCTAAGTAACTCTGGGATATGAGTTTGGATCCTGTCTTTGGCCTTGATACTGATCATCGCAAAACTGCCTAACAGCCAGGTACAAAGATGTCCTTCCTCACCGTTAATGAGTTCATCCACCTCCAAGCTGCCACCAGCTTGGTCAGGCTGCGATTTATCTGTGTCCCTCTCTTCAGTTTTGGCCTCTTCTTTATAAGTATTCTGACATTACGAACGTGGAAAGTGAAAGCCCGTCTTCCCAGTGCTGACAGTGTGATCCAGCCCTCCTCACACCGGCAGCACCAGCTTTTTGTAAAGTCTGGAACGTAACCAGCCGTGATACTGGAAGCAGAAATTTCAGTTTCAAGGATGACTTTAGCAAAGTATCAAGTCATGAATGTGATTTCTACCTTTAATTTCTTTCTAAAGACATAACATCACTCTTCTGCCCCTATTCAAATTACCAGGTCAGTTGCTACTTTGAGATTGAATTAAGAGAATTCTTAGATGTCTGGCTACTGAACCCAGTTTTAGAGACTGAAAATGGAATTTTGCAATTTATTACAATCCTAGTTTGGGGAAGAAAATTTGCATCATTTAGCAGGTATTTAAGATGTTCACAACATTTCATTTCTCAGTGCACATAAATATGCATTATGTCGGGCACTGGAATGTCAGCAAACTAATGCAACTTGTAATTTGATTCATCTGGGCACAGCATTTAATGAGGAAATATTTAGTGTCAGTTTTTGCCTTTAGGTTACAAATAGGATTATGGTAGGCAGTAGTTTATGCAGAAAAGCGTTTTATAAATAGTAAAACACCAAATAAATGCCACTTTTTGTTCTAAAATATATGTTTAAAAGTAATCCTAAAGGGAAAACGTCTCCTCTGTTGAAGAAAGTAATTAAAACTTATTTTAAATGCAAGAAAAAACAAAGCAGGGAAAGGCAAGAAAATGATAGCATGTCTGTGTTCATCAGGCTGCTAGCGTAATAACAGTCCCGAGGTATCAGCAACTTAACACCGTGAATGTTGCTTTCCTGCCACCACAAAGTTGGCTCTCAGTCTCTAGGACTGTGTCCTCTGCTGCAGTGAGGGCTGTGGCCTCACCGTCATGGGCACTACAGCAGGGGACAGCTTCTGCCCACAGCCCGCTGCCCATGCTAACGATGAGGTCCTGCCCAACTGGAAGGGCCTGCAGGGGAACCATGGAGTGTTTGGGAGGGCCGTAGTCCCCACCACCTGTCCTGACCTTCTCTGCAGAGCAGTCTCCTAAACCTTCTGTATTCAGGCAGCCTGGGGGACCCTCTGTGAGGTAGAAAACCGCAGAAAAGCCTTCTGTTAAATGTTTTCTTCTTTGACCTGTGTCTTCAGGATAAGCCATTGTATTTACCGACATGTATATTCTAGCAGCTTTTACTTTTTTCTGAAAGAATATTCCTAACGTGTGAACTGCGTGTTCTGTTGGCGGTGTTGATAGTCACTGCTAACTGAGCTGCTGGCCCGGTGCGGCTTTGTCACCGTGTCACCGTTGTCACCATCAGCTACTGCCTTGACTTCCTATTAGGGTAGGTTGAAGACTCTGGCATAAAATTAATTTTCATTTAGCATTTTAAAATTAGCCTTCGTTTCTCAGCTATTTCTGTAATTTACTGCTTAAGGTACTTTATTTTGATCGGTGCGAATCTTTCACCATGTAATGTTGGAGCCCTAGGGAGTCTATCTGAACTCCCCGGTAAGACATTCCATACAAGATTAAGGAAGGAAGAAGTAAAGTTTATTTAAGTATAAGAAAAACCATCTGTAGGATATGCACAAAGGAATACTGAGACTTTTTCGTGTAGTGGTCAGTTCATACTTGTAAGCTGGTGTCATAGCTGAAGCCACCCGACAAGATGTCCACACGCAGGATCGGTGCCGTATGTTTTAGTGCAGAAACATAGTCTGCCGTCTGATACCAGGGACCGCTATGAGCTGACCGACAGCAGCCCTGCCACTGAACGTAGCTGCACCACCTTTTCCCCCTGCTTTAAAGTCAAGGTGGCCCATCAGATTTAAAAACTCAGCAAAAAACACTGTCAAGAAAATGAGAAGGCAAGCCACAGACTGGGAGAAAAGACTCCTAATGCGTATATCTGACAAAAGACTCGTATCCAGAATATACAAGGAAATCCTCTAACTCAGTCATCAAAAGACAAACCATTAAATTTGAAAAATGAGCAAAAGACTCGAACGGGTACTTCTCAAAAGAAGATATACCCCATAAGCACATTAAAAGAGTCTCAGCATCATTAGTTACCAGGGAAATGCAAATTAAAACCATGACAAATTACCTCTTCACACCCAGAATGGCCGACATGGAAAGGGTGCCAACACCAAGTGCTGGCGAGGGTGTGGGCAGCCGGCCTGCACTGCTGGTGGGCATGCAGAATGGCAAATGGGGGGACGCCTGGGTGGTTCAGTCGGTTAAGCATCCACCTTCGGCTCAGGTCATGATCTCTCAGTCTGTGAGTTCGATCCCCGCGTCGGGCTCTGTGCTGGCAGCTCAGAGCCTGGAGCCTGCTCCGGATTCTGTGTCTTCCTCTCTCTCTGCCCGTCCCCCACTTGTACTCTGTCTGTGTCTCTCAAAAGTAAACATTAAAAAATATAAAAAAAGAATGGCAAATGAAAGTCTACCCCACAACCTTGCACTTCCACTTCTAGGTACCGTTCAAGAAAAACAACGCGTCCACAAAAAGTCTTCCATAGCGACTTTACTCCTGATAGCAAGAAGTGAGCGTGGCCCGAGTGTGCTCACTGGGTGGCCGGGTGGCCGGGTGGCCGGGCAAACCTTGTTGTCGACAGGCAGCCGAGCAACATTCAGCAACCTGAGAAGCGACACTGCGTGTGAATCCTGCGCACAGTTCACTGAGTCAAAGAGGCCAGACCCCAGAGACCGCATACCTGTGGTTGTTTTTATGGACCTCTAGACCAGACTAGTAACCTGTGGGTGCCTCAGGGGAGGGGACTGACTCGAAGGGGCCCAAGGGAACTTTCTGGGGGATGAACATGTGCTCTAACTCGACAAGACACGGTTACCTGGGGATGTTCATCCGTCAAAACCGACGGATCAGAACACGTCAGATGTGTGGGTTCACCAGAGTCCCCGCGGTCGGGTAGCTGGTGTGGAGGAGCTGAGCTGGCCTGGGTTCAGACCTTTGCCTCCCGGCTTAGCCACAGTCTCACCCTGGGACCTTGGGCAAATGTCTCTGTGTCTGAGTCCTGACGGCCTCCTGAGACTGAGCCGATAATCACTGCGTGCCACTGCTCCATTGCAGGCTTTGGATTGAAGCATCCCACACTTAGCCGCACCTTGTCCCAAGGCTGTGACCAGGCTGTGCTTTTGGCCACATAGACCATCAATCAAGTGTAATTTCTCTTGAGAGCCTCCTCCCATTTCCCTTCCTCTTAAAATTGGTTTAATCAATAAGGAGAAATGTAGAAAGAAAAATGAAGATTCTAGGGGGCTTAATTCATTATTAATTCTCATTCGGGTCCAGATTTCCTGATAAAGAGGGGCGCCCTCTCCCCAGATGCAGAATTTGCTGGTGCTGTGCACGGATGTGATGAAGCTAGCGACGGGGCCCACGCAGGGACTAACCCTGCGCTTATCGGCCCCGGTGCCCGGTGCCAGCAGCATGCTGACTGCCCCGCCCGGTGCCAGAGAGCCTGCCGAGTGGCGCCTGGCCGGTGGCAGGGCGGCCAGAGGCCTCGGAAATGCCCCTGAGCTGTGGTGTTCTCAGACCACAGGGTCAGCCGCAAGAGCAGCCTCACCTCTTTCTTTGAAGGATAAATCAAAGTCCATAGATTTAAGTGAAGGATTCGTCATTTTACAAAAGCAATTAGCGTGTGGCCTTTTCCTTCATTTGCCTGCAGGACCTATAAAACTGACAAGCCTGGCGTGTGGAAATCAGCACATCTGGGCCTGTGATTCCAGGGGCGGAGTTTACTTCCGAGTAGGAACCCAGCCTCTCAATCCCAGTCTGATGCTTCCGGCCTGGATAATGATTGAGCCGCCTGTCCAGGTAAGCCAACCCTAACTGACACCAGGCTGCCCCTCGTAAAGGCGGGAGCTGCCGGATCGCTGTGCCGGGGAGGGGACCACCCCCGCCTGCGTGCGCACCCCAGCAAGCGGGGGCAGAGGCACATGTCCGGGGAGCAAGGCGCGCCCCCAGCCCGCGCTCACCCGTCTCTCCCAGGCGCGGAATTTAGAGCCGAATGCATCGTTAGAGATGATCTGAGCCAACACTTAAGGTTTTTTTCTTCTCAAAATAAAAATATTTTGCCTTTTTACAAAACGAACGTTGTGTTTTAAAAAAATAAAATCAGGGGCATCTGGCTGGCTCAGTCCAGTGAGTATGCGACCCTTGATCTCGAGATCGTGAGTTCAAGCCCCAAGTTGGATGTAGAGATTACTAATAAATAAATAAGAATAAAATCAAGCAGTACCCAGAAGTACGGCAAAGAAAATAAAAGCCACTCAGATCTTGTCAGCACCTTGTGAGTACCTCTCCTGGCTTGTTGGGTTCTGTGTCCCGTCCCCACCCCCACGGCATTTCAGCTTACCGTATGTTCCCAGTGTTTTTCTTTTCTACTTGACTCTTCCACCATTGATCACAGAAGCAGGGGTCTGATTTTAGTGCACTATTTAATTACCTTTAAAGATCTAACGGGCCTGGTTGCTATACTAGGTTTATTTCTGTTAAAATGTATACTTAGGGGTCTGTGATTTCGTGACTTATCTGCTCCAACTCCTGCTAGGCCCTATTTTGTGAATTTGTTGGAAAAAACATGATGTTGCCATTTGCAGAGGCAGCAACGGGACAGTGGTTAGTCCTTAAACAGAAGAATGCTTAAATGGGGACAGGCAGGAAATCAAGTGTTTGGGTAAAGGCCCGCGTTCATGACTATCTATGTTTTGTGCATAGACAGGGACAGAGTGACAGAAGTCGAGGGTCAAGTTGCAGGGCCATCTCTGAGGACCTCCAGTCCTCCCAGGAGACATGGGGTGTGTGCTGGGAGGCCCTATGGTTGGACCAGAGGTCGTGTTGGAGTTCGAGGTCCTGGCCACAGAGGCCCCGCGTCCCCACTGGTAGATGTTCCTCCCTCATGGAGTTAAGGGGAGGGTGGGTAGAATAATGTCCGATGGCACCTTGTGAATCAGAAAGCGCTGTGCAGACGTGAGGTGACATATGATGAATGAGGATGCGGGCTCACTTCTCTGCACGCAGTGGCGCAGCGGGAGCAGGTCACCCGGCAGAGGGGAGTTTGTCATCACTGGCCTTGCTGAGCGCTGCCTGTGCACAGTGATGAGCAGAGACAAGCCAGCGTGCGGCTCGCTTCGTTGGCGTTCTGAAATTCTCTTTACGCAAGGCACCCTCTTGTTGCCTGAGCCCTTTGGTACGTCGCTGTTAGCACATTCCTTTTTTTTTCTAAGAGCTTTATATTATTTCTTTTAAGAGTTACAGTTCACCCTTTCATAGTGTAAAATTCAGGGGGTTTTAGTATATTCAGGAAGTTGAGCAACACTTACTACTACCCTGTTCCAGAACTTTCTCATCACCCCAAAAAGAAAGCACATACCCATGAGTAGTAATGGTAGGGTGGGTAGGTAGCCCATATCCTCTTCTGGAACCCCCACCCCCTCAGCCACTAATCTCCCTTCTATTTTTATGCCTTTGCCTATTCTGGATCTGTCTGTTCATATAATGGAATCGTACAATAAGTGGCCTTCTCTGCCATCTTTCACTTAGCGTCGTGTTTTCAAGTCCTGTAGCACATTGTAGCATGTATCAGTGCTTCGTTCCCTTTTGTGACTAATATTTCGTCATGTGGATAGATGTGTTGTTTATCTGTTCATCAGTTGGTGGACGCTCAGGGTGTACCCACGTGTGGGCTGCCGTGAATAATACTTCATGTATGAGTGTTTGTGTGGACTTAACATTTTCCATTCAATAGAACGTGTAGATACCTTTAAAGGGAATTGCAGGGTCAGTTGGTGAATGTACATTTAAATGTTTAAGGAACTGGGGCACCTGGCTGGCTCAGTCGGTAGAGCATGTGTCTCTGGATCTCGGGATTGTGGGTTCGAGCCCCACATTGGGCGTAGAGATTACTTAAAAATAAAATTGAATAAACAGACGAGCTGATTTCCACAGTGACTGTGTCATTTTGCCTTCCACCAGTAATGTATTAGAGTTCTCGTTTCTCCACATCCTTTCCAAAAAGTTGTTCTTGCCCGATGTTTTTATTCTAGCCATCCTAGTAGGCGTAAAAATGGCATCTCGTGGTTTTGACTTGCATTTCCCTAAATGACTAATGATGTTGAAGATCTTTTCATGCACTTACTGGTCCTTTGTATATCTTCTTTGGAGAACTGTGTATTCAGATTCTTTGCTCATTTGTCAACTGAGCTATTTATCTTTAAATTCTTGAGTTATAAGAGTTCTGTAGGTATTCTGGGTTCTAGACCCATATCAGATACATGATTTACATATGCTTTCGGTGAGTTATGTGCTAACTGTTGCCTGATCCAAGGTCTTGAAGATTTGCATCTGTATTTTCTTTCAGACATCTTACAGTTCTAGCCCTTACATTTAGATGTTTGATTTATTTTCAGTTAATTTTCATATAGGGTACAAGGTGGGTGTCCAAATTCATTCCTATACACATGAATATCCAATTATACCAGCACCATTTGTTCTTTTTGATTCAATTATCATGAAGGGCTGTCAAAATCAATTCATCATAAATGGAAGGACTTTTTTACTTTAGTTCTATTTCAGTGATCTGTATGTCCGTCATCAGGCCAGTACCACATTGTCCTGATTACTTAGCTTTGTTGTAAATTTTGAAATCAGGAAGTGATTTTTCTTTTTCAAGATTGTTTTGGGGGTACCTGGGTGGCTCAGCAGTTAAGCATCCCACTCTTGATTTCAGCTCAGGTCATGATTTCACAGTTCGTGGGTTTGAGCCCCGCCTTGGGCTCTACACTGGCAGTGTGGAGCCTGCTTGGGTCTCTCTCTCTCCTTCTCTCTCCGCCCTCTCCCACTTTCTCTGTTTATCTCTCTCAAAATAAATAAATAATATAAACTTTTTTAAAAATACTTTTTTTTTTTCTACTCTGGTCTTTTGCACATCCATATGAATTTTAGGATCAGTTTGTCAATTTCTGCAAAAAAAAAATGCTAACATTTTTATAGGAATTGTGTTGAATCTGTAGATCACTTGGGGAAGCATTGCCATCTTCATAGTATTAAATCTTCCAATCCATGAACATGGGCTGTCTTTTCATTTATTTAGATCTTCTTTAATTTCTTTCAGCAGTTTTGTGGTTTTCAGAGTATGTGTTTTTAACTACTTTTGTTAAATGTATTTCTAAGTCATTTATTCTTTTTGATACTACTATAAATGGAATTTTTTTAATGCTTATTTATTTTTGAGAGAGAGAGAGAGTGTGTGTGTGTGCAGGAGTGCACAAGCTGGGGAGGGGCAGAGAGAGAGACACACACACACACAGAATCCAAAGCAGGCTCCAGGCTCTGAGCTGTCAGCACAGATCCTGATGTGGGGCTCAAACTCACAAATCACAAGATTGTGACCTGAGCCGAAGTCAGATGCTTAACTGACTAAGCCACCCAGGCACCCCGGAATTGTTTTCTTAATTCCATTTTCAGTTTGTTCATTGCTAGTATAAGTTTCTGTATATTGATTTTGTATCTGGAAACCTTGCTAAACTTATTTTAGTTCTAATAACTTTTTTGTGCATTCCTTAGGATTTCTTATGTACAAAATCATGTCATCTACAAAGAGAGATAATTTTACTTCTTTTCCTATCTGGATGCCTTTTCTTTCTTTCTTTCTTTCTTTCTTTCTTTCTTTCTTTCTTTCCTTCCTTCCTTCCTTCCTTCCTTCCTTCCTTCCTTCCTTCCTTCCTTTCTTAAATGCTTATTTATTTTTTAGAGAGAGACAGAGCACAAGCAGGGCAGGGGCAGAGAGAGAGAGGGAGACACAGAATCCAAAGCAGGCTCCAGGCTATGAGTTGTCAGCACAGAGCCTGACGTGGGGCTTGAATCCACACAGTGAGATCATGACGTGAGCCAAAGTTGGACGTTTAACCAACTGAACTACCCAGGCGCCCCATATTTCTTTTCTTGCTTAATTACCCTGACTAGAACCTTCTGTACGAAGTTGAGTAAAAGTGGCAGGAGTAGACACGCTCGTTGTGTTCCTGATCATAGGGGGAAAGCATCTAGTCTTTCACTGTTAACTAATGATATTAACTGCACATTTTTTACAGATGCCCTTTTCAGACTGAATAAGTTCCCTTTATTCCTAGTTTGTTGAATGTTTTTTTTTTCCATGAAAGAATGTTGGTTATTGTCAAGTGCCTTTTCTGTATCTATTGAGATGATCATGTGTGTTTTCTCCTTTATTAATATGATATGTTATATTGACTGACTTTTGTATGTTGAACCTTTTGTTTCCGGGATAAATCCCAGTTGGTCATGATATGTAATCTCTTGTATATGTCGCTGTATTTGGTCTGCTAGTATTTTGTCAGGGATTTTTGTGTCCTTATTCATGAGAGAGATTGGTCTTTGGTTTTCTTTTCTTGTCATGTGTTTGTCTGGTTTCGCTATCAGGGTAATGCTGGCCTCTTAGAATGAGTCGAGAAGTGTTTCTTCCTCTTCTATATTTTGGAAGAGTTCCTGAAGGGTTAGTGCTGATTATTCTTAAAGCATTCTTACAGCTCCTCATTGTAAGCTTGGGCTTTTCTTTGTGAGATGTGTTTTGATTACTAATTCAGTCTCTTTACTTGTTTTAAGTCTATTCAGAATTTTCTGTTTCTTCTTGATTCAGTTTGAATAGTTTCTGCCTTTCTAGAAATTTGTTCATTTCATCTACATTACCTACTTTATTGGTGCCCAGTTGTTGATAGCAGTCCCGTATCATCATTTCTATTTCTCTAAGGTTGGTAGTTCTGTCTCCTCTTTCATTTCTGATTTTAGGAGTTTGAGTCTTC